TTGTAGAGTACACTTAACAAGCATATGGGGCGATGGTTACGAAGATCCCTTCGGTCTCGTTTCTTGGGCAGGATGACCGTGCGCGACGTCCTTTCTTCTTCTCTCTTTCGACGTTATTTTTTACTTGATGAAATTAAAGCGCATACAATGTACTGAAGGCTCGCATATAGCGCAGTGGTCGGAGACGCCCTGCAATATATGTATAGGATCGATCCCCGTTCCCCAGGCCCACCGAGCCTTCCATCTCTGCCGGATCGGCAAGTTGGTAATAGACTGGTCCGGGAGGATAGCTGCAATGACTCGATACATCGGTAACCCACTGCGAGTTATTGTGTGCACCAGATATGCATTCTATCATCTCTATCCTGCTACGAATAGAGCCGAATCCATGGCGCATCTCTCTGAGATTGAGCAAAGCCGGAATTTTTTTTACAAGCCGTATATAATTCGTTTTATGAGCAGCGAAGAATTAGTTGTTTCGTTGATCTTCATGTAACTAGGAGACGGGCGGTGACCAAGTCTCCAGTCGTCCATGTCGCTTGCTTGAGTTGCTTTGCAGAGCTCGATGAGGCTAGCATGGAGTGGTTTCTATTTTTTCTGGTGAGACTTTGGCAACCACTGGCCTATTAGACACGTTGGTAGGGTGTTCGATGACACTGATAGAGGCTAAGCACCAGCCGTACATCACAGTTTGACACTCGGGAGCCATACGAGACGTTATAAAACTGTTTGAGTGGTGTTTATACATGTAGTGAAGTCGCAGTAGCTGAGGTAAATGTGTGATTGATATCAAAACGAAGGAATTTTTAGGAACTTTATCCACTTTGTTTTTCCTTTTCCTTTTCGTAAGATAAAATAAATAGATCTTGTTTTTAGGTCGGAACGGTGTGTGCTCAGTCAGTGAATACAAGGGACATTTTCAAGGAAAGCCAGCATTCTTCAAGGTAGTAGATATGGCAGTATACATCCAGCCTAGAACATAGTACTATACTTAGTGGAAACCTCATAGGAAGCGGCTCTGAGGAAGGCGAAATCCGCCGAAACGTCAGCTTAATCGTGAACAAAGAATAATAACACCTCGCGTTTGCTCAACAAAAATAGGAAGAAAATTACTAGTACATAGTATTACAAACTGCAGCAAATTCACATTCGTTTCTTTCTTTTTCTAACGCCTCCCATCCATCTATTTGCTTCGGGCATATGTGAGTACTTCTCAACCGTTAAATCTTTTCGGACTAAAAATGCAGCTGGCTAATATGTTAACAGCCGGAAGAACGTAGCGCAGTGGTAGTGGTACATTCGAATGCGCACGGGGCACTAGTTCAATTTCCCTCCAAGCGAGCCAGGCCTCCTATCCATCAAGTCGAATGGTCGGCGAGTTGGTGCCATATTTATCTGGAAACCTCCTAGTACGACTAACACAAGGTTATGTGGTGAAACTACTCGACAAGAATTTATGAAATCTAGAAACAAAGCCAAAAATGCACAATTAGCGGCAGAACCCACAATCAGAATCGCGAAACTTTCGCGGATGGTGGTTGGGAGAAGAGGAATCCAATGGAGGAAGTACTGGTATATCCAGGATGTCCGGTAGTGGCAAATAAAAGTGGATAAATGGATATGGACCTTTAAAAACATCGACTCACCTTGAGATGGTCATACCGGAGAAGACGACTTGGATCAATTCTGCTCTGAGGGTAACGAAAGACACTGAGACGTTAGATGTAGAAATGTTTGTTGTTTATCAACCTCGTGTTAGCTTGTGAATGAAGCAGAGTATCGATGCCGAGGCTAAATGAAAGTTGCTTTGAAAAAAACTTTGCGTACTGTTGGTACTGAAGTATCAGCAACTGTTTAAACATAGGCAACTAGAATGTTTTCAAGAAAAGGCTTTTTAAAAACGTGTGGTCTGTTTAACCTCAGTTTGTTGTACAACCGTAGATCTGCAGAATGGGATTAATCTTCTGAAATTTCATGAAAGTTGAGATAGCTAGTTACTTCTGCAGTGTTTTCTTTGATTCTTGTTTCGAGTAGGTTACGAGTACATGTGGCCACGTCATGAGTTTGGACTTCCCGACCCAATTCAACAACTGGGAGTGCGTCGATCCCGTTGACCTCTACAAGGCTCCAACCAAGAAGATAGAGTCGAACCCGAAGATGCGTATGAATGACGTAAGAAAGAATGAGAAAAATATTTAGTTGGTAAGTGTTGTACAATAGTCTTTACGCACGTTACTTTAGTTCCTTGCGTTTGAGGCGAATGGTGCTGATTATTTAGTGCTGTGGCTAGATTGTGACAAAGAAGGAGAGAATATCTGTTTTGAGGTTCGAAATCTTTTATTTGTTGTTCTTTTCTATTTTGAAGTAATATATATGTAATATTCTGAGTATAAGGTGTTCGGACGCCACTGAGGTCACTCAGCTTTGACGGAGAGATCCATATTTTCATTGAAACCCTCAGCCATTAGTGAACTACTGCGAGAAATCAGCAAATATGGTACAAACGAGTAGCATACTGTAGATGAGAAACATGCATGTGATAAATTCCTCATGATTATTTACTGCGACGAGCCATCCAAGTCATTTTTAGTATATTTTTTTGTCTTTGCATGCATCTTTGCAGTAGTTTTGCTCATGTGAGAATGCCCAACTAATAAGCCTAAACGATTTATTTTTCCAACATTGCACAAACAAGCTTTGTCTGGTGGATAGTAGCAGAACATTTTTGAGGATTCAAATAGTGTCCACTTTATAATCTACCAAAAGTAATTCATTTTTTTCTTCATGTCATTTTTATACGACCCGTCCTAACGTCTACTGTTCGAATCCCAGTACATCTACATTCGATTCATTTTCTCGCATCCATCATCCTCCACGAACGCCTGCCAACTTTTACATGTGGCTTCGACTACTGCTTGAGGATTTTAATTTCATCTTGATTGTCGTAGAACGGTGGTCGAGTCGATTCTCAACTCAACGATTCTCCATTTTCACTGGCGTCCTGAGGTAACAGAGTGAACTTTTTCCAGATAAGTTCGGCACCAATTTGCCGACCCCGGAGGCATGACAGGCTTGATTATCCCACAGCGGGATAAAACCAGCTCCATGCTCGCGGTGACCAATATCACTAGCACTGGGCTATTAGTATACCACTCATGGAAAAGCATTTTTTCAACTACTGAAATGTATCGGAGATAGAGATGGTAACAAAGTAGATTGCCGTTTTGCTTATGTATGAAAAAACCGAAGCATGTGAAGCTACAAAGGGTGAAATAAGCACAAGTCGAATGAGGTGGATGTTTTGCTAAAACATTTTGTCAAGAGTAAACTAAGAAACATACTGATTAGTTAGCGTACTATGGTGTTGTTACCGTATTTTCTGTACTTTTCAATATGTGCACTCTATGTTTAGGTAATTGATGCCGTTAGTTCATCAATGAGAAGTACGAATTCCAACTTTATGCATAATGTGTACAGGTAGGAGAGGAAAATTTCAAATTTTTAATTTAACAACGTCCTCATGCTCTAAAGGGCGCGGATAGCGCAGTGGTCGGAGAAGCCCTTCATTACATATGGGATCGTTCCCGATGCCCCAGGTTTGCCAAGTCCTCCATCCTTCAGGAGTCAGCAAATTGGTACCAGACTTCTCTGGGAGATAGCAGCACTGGCTCGACACATCGGTAGGCCACCGCGAGTGTTATAAAGGTCACATGTGAATGACATCACCTCCAACGATGCTGAATGAAATCGAATGCGTGGCGCATCCCTCAGGGATTGATTAACGCCGAGAGCTTTGTCCTTTTATCCTTTACTAGAAAAATAACCTAGCCGCATCATCTTTAGTGAAACCTCATTATAGAGCTCGTTTTTCTGCGATCACTGACAAAGACATCAAATTTGCTATGGAGAACCTCGTTCGTCCAAATCGCAATGAGGCGCTTTCAGTGGACGCTCGTCAAGAGTTAGATCTACGCATTGGCTGTTCGTTCACCAGATTCCAAACAAAGTACTTCCAGGTTAGAGTTGAGTATCACCCATTATTACTAATTTTGTTCTCAATAAGTACGATGGAACAGAAACGCTTTTATGTCTATCAAGTCTGGAATCATGAGAGGCCTTCTCGTTTCCTACCTTCAGGAGCTGTATTTTATGAACCATTATTTAACACTTAGAATTCTGAATGAGTCTATTTCTATTCATATATGAGAGGAAAGGTCAATCGGCGTGACGAGGAAACTCGATCTGGGGCGGTTGTGTAAACTACATGCTGTAGAGGGTTGCACCTCTGAAATGTGATTGTCAAGCTCTGGAGTCTATAGAAAAGTATTGCAAGAGACTCTGCGCTGTGAAATGAACAACCAGAGAGGAAATGAACAATGTATGATTCGTACTATCGTGAACTTTTCAATAATGTACAAGAAGAGTTGCTTTTTGGACGAGTTTTTTCGTCAAATTTAGGAACAGTTCTTTATTTGAAGCCAATGTATTAGAAATGCGGAAGGTACTAAGATATCTTCGCATCACGCGGTGACCACCTAATTTTTGTGAAGACGGCGAGCACAAAAAATGGTGCTAGGGTATGCATAACGCGATGCGTGGGTGGCCGTACTAGCCGATGTGAAGCTCGCAGAATGTGTTATGTGCCTGCTCGAACAGCTAGGCATTGAACTCCAAGTATGAAGAGTTTTACTAGATTATTAGTAGTACCATTGGAAAATAACTTTATAAATGTCTCCGTTGCTACATTGGGGCGGGGATACCGCAGTGGTTAGTGATAATGTTGATCAGGAAGCAAAGGCAATAGTTTGGTCTCTACCCCAACGCTCTCCAATCTACGTGGGAACGCCTCAGTCCGGCGATCTCCAAGATTACAAGGAGAATCGACTCGACCACCATTCCACGACATTCATAAAGGGACGAATTCCTTATGCAGCTGAATCAACATGCGAAATGGTGAAAACCATTGTGGATATTGGATGTGAGGAACCAAATCGAATGCAACAAGTGCTGGGATCCACACAGTAGATGTGATGACGGGTCATGTAAAGAAAAAACAAAAAAATGTATTCTTTCCTTGATGAGCTTACACGAGGTTGATAATGATGTTTATTTTCGGCTAACGTTTCGGCGTCTTCGTCTTCCTCAGAGCCCATGATAAAAGGGCATCACTGAGTAAGGATGCCTCATTCTAGGAGATGGTTCGCTGAAGAAGACCTGACTCGACACGAAGGTGAAGCTGCCACGCCGAGACGAATAACAAGCGAGGACCATCGACTCGGATCACCGGCTCTGAGGAGGACGAAGACGTCGAAACGTTAGCCGAAAATAAACATCATTATCAACCTCGTGTAAGCTCATCAAAGGAAGAATACATATTGATTAGTGACACCGAGGTTCAAGGAAAGTCGGTTTCGAAATAAAAAAATGTATTACTACATTATTATGTTTCCAAGACGTGATACTTCAGTAGGTTAGTAACAAAGCTGGACTGCAAAAGTGTAGAAGTTTAGTTTTATGGGAGTATTAGGAGTGGTTCACATTTCTCGCTAAGGTTTCTTGTGTTGTACATCGTAATATTATCTTATTACTAAAAATACCGTAGAGTAGCTTGAAATCTTTGGTTTCTAGCATGAATTTGGTGTCAGTTTGCTCCAGTATTATTTCTGTATTGATTTTCAGAACAAATATGGTGATCTCGATAGTACCGTCATTTCCTATGGACCGTGCCAAACACCTACGCTCGGGTTCTGTGTGAATCGCCATGATCAGATCATACATTTTAAGGTCTTTTTAATTTCTTTTTTTTGGTTTTCTGGTGCTTTAATGGAAAGAAGTGGCTCGTGTAGCGCATTGGATCGAGATGCTCTGCGGTGCACATGGTCCTTGGCTCAAATCCCCCACCCCAGTGCTGACCACTTACCTTGTCCATACGGATTAGGCGGTGCGGTAGAGGTACTTACTTGTTTAAGAGAGTAGGGACATCATTGTACGTCTATAGGCAGGTAGAAGTCATTGTGTAGGCCAGTTAAGTATCCAATTGTCTCTACAGTGTTTGCCATATTTCTAATGTCATTGGTTCTCTGAGAACTCCTGGTAATTTCCTAATCATTAGAGCAGTTAAGAGGCTGAGAACGTCACACACTTAGCGAAGGAAGCATTGTTTTATCGATTTATGAGTGTGCGAAGCTTCTACAGATTGTTTTCTTGGTTTTAAGTTTTTTTTTGGAATCAAAGTTCACAAAATTGGAGATTTATGCATCGACGAACACCATCATAACGTACTGGATTGAATCTCGCTTGTTTTTAACCTTCGACATTTCACCTGCAGGCTTCAAGAAAAGTGGACGATGAATATCGTCTGCGGACTTCAGAAAATGAGAAGTTTATTTTGGTTGAATAAGAAAATTTCGATTTTTGGCAAAGGTCTATGGATTCGACTGGTTGCTTTTTCAGTTAACAGAGTTCACTATGAACCTAAATTTCTACTATGAAAGATTTTTTTCTAGAAGTCTTCCGATGTTTCCAAAATGAACTTTTGATTTTCTGAGCACAGATAATATGCTCTTTCGCCTTTTTTTCAGTGAGTTTTAAAATGCTTTTTTCATTTCGAACACGAATGTAGTTGACGATGTGGGGTTTCGTTTAGTAGGATGCGATGGCGTTCACTGGTTTTGGCGTTTACTGCTTTGGAGGTTTTGTGAGAAATTTTATAAGTCTGAAAGTCTTTTTCAATTTTTGATCTTAGTTCCGAAAAGCGTTGAGATTGAAGGAATGCTTTGTGAAGTTGTATATCTTCAGTAATTATATGAAGTTCTCTACTCCTTAACTGCTTTGATGACCGAGAAATTAGCAAGATGGATCTTCTGATCACATCGGCATTGATAAAAAGTCACTATTTTCTTCATAATCGGACATGAGGTTGTTAACAAGATTTATTCAGTATAGTACTGATCCACGCTTCGACGGTTTCGCCTTGTTCAGAAGCTAGAAAGGTCATACTGACACGCAGTCTACTGAGCCAAACACTTTCATGACCTCAGCAGAGAAAACTAGATTTGCTTTTCTAATTTTTATTCGTACAGTAAAGAGCCTATCTTAAACACTCACCGTTTTGTTCTTTTCAAGTCTTCCATTTGTTTATACAGACCAGCCACACAGAGTCGTACTTGGGTCAGGAATGTACCTGAATCAGGTGTGAAAAATCAGCCTGAGATATGGGGCGAGATCATGTGTGATTACAAGGGTCTCCTCATAGCGATTCATTTTTTTGATTCTTAAAAATGACTCAAGAGTTTTTCGTGTAGACGTTATAGATTCCTTTGCGAGAATGCTGACTTTTACTTCGAGATCTTCTCCGTTATGTCTGCGTGTCTAAAGTAGGGTTTTGTTTGACTTTACGGAATAGATAAACGGCAAACACTGACATATTTCATTATGTGAAGAGTATAAATTTTCTCTAATTTTTCATTTTTCCGTCTTGGGGTTTCAATATCCACTTTGATATCTCCTGTAGAACTGAGTTTTAATTTTCTTGATGTGCTTCTTGTAAATGATGCTTTTATTCTTAGCCAGAGCCTTACTGGGTGCTACAGTGTATGTTCGAAACCTCTGATGGAACATGTATTCATCCAAACTGGAAACGTGACCGACTTTTCGATAGAGACATCTGTCAGTTTTTCTTCGATCGTGTGAAGGTAAGTTTAACCACATATTGTTCTTTGAAAGTTTCTAAGCTGTTCAGTTGATTGTTATGTATATCCTGAATGTATGTAGAGTGCGGGGAGAGGTGTGGTAACTGATCGAACGACCAAAGAATCGCGTAAAGATCGCCCTGTTGCCCTGAACACTGTTGAACTGATGCGTGTTGCGAGCAATGCATTCGGTAAAAACTGGACTTGTATTTCTCATTTGTAGTTAGCGATGGTTTTTTAAAGTTCTATCTGCAGGATTTATCTTTATTGGCTTTCGTAATATTTTTTGTAGCTGAGAAATGTGTAAACTAACTAATTCTAGTGGTTAGCTCAACGTTCTTGATGTGCTAGTCACTATATAACTGAGAAACATTAGCTTATAGGCATCAGTCCATCCTCGACTATGAGTATTGCTGAGCATTTATATACTCAAGGTTTCATTTCTTATCCACGAACTGAAACCACTTCCTATCCGTCGAATTTCGACCTAACAGGGACTCTCAGGCAGCAAGCAAACAACTCCAAATGGGGAGATGTAGTGAAGAAAGTAAGTTTATTCTCTCCCTTCCTCTCTCATAGGGAATTTTATAAGCTGGATTGATCAGCACATGGTATTTGAACTTTTTAACAACGCTCCCATTCTGACAGTTAAAGGCGCAAGTGTACTTTTTTTATTTATGCGTATATATAACCACAATGGTGCTGAGATATTTGCAAAACTTCGGACCGCGGGTGTCTATGGTGGAGATCGAACACGCTATCACCCTTTCTGGCGGCTAATGTGCTCACCACCACACCATGCGGGCTCTTTGTTTCGCTTTTCTCTCAGGTAGTCTTTAATCGAAGAATTAGGCTTCTACATCGTCTTTGAGCGGTCGTTTACTTTTACATTCCTACTTTTGTTTCTGATTTTGGTTTTAACATCCCTCCGAATCAACTAGTAGGAAGACCGAACGAAGGATTTGTCGCCGAAAACACACGTCCCTCTGATCCACATCGTGGTGAAGACTTGTATACGCCCCTGCAACGTTAAGTCAGGACTCCAGGGAGGACCAAGTTGCACGACAAACAAAAGGCCATCCTCAGTACCCCGCACACTGGATGCTCCCGTCTATGATGTCAGGCGGTGAGACGACCGGTGAGAGGCCAGAAAATCTCGGGTTACGCAGGACGTCATTGGAACCAGATCTGACGAACACACGCACGACACACCATGGAGATTGTTTCTCACTATGCACGTATAATGCCAGAACACTCTCCACAGACCCCGATCTTCACGCCCTTCTTGTAGCCGCAGATCGCATTAAGTTTCATGTGATCGCATTACAAGAAACAAAAATCAAGAAGACCGACATACTCCAACTAAACAACGGGACCCTTGTGATCCGTGTAGGAAAGGTCCCGTCACGAAATGTCGGTGGCGTTGACTTTGTTGTCCAACCGTCCATTGTCCATCTCGTCGACTTATACGTGATCCTTTCCCTTCGCATAGCCGTCCTCCGTGTTCAACTGTCGCATCATAAGAAGATCACTATCATCAACTGCTACTCGCCAACCGACGCAGCTGATGAGTATGAATTAAATGCGTTCTACTATAAGTTGGAGGAAGTCATCCGCAGTGATAAAGCATATGATAAATTTGTTGTTGGAGACTTCAACGTCAGAATAGGAAAGACCAGCGAGAGCGAATACAGGATAGGAAATTCTGGATTAGAGGAAAGAAATGAGAATGGGAACCGTTTCACAGGGCTCCCGTCAGCAGCACGTCTCTTCAATGGAAACTCGTTTTTCCAGAAGAAAGAAAGCCGCCGCTGGACATGGGAGTCTCCCAACAGCATAACTCATGCGGAGTTCGACCATATTCTGACAAACAGGAAATGGTGCCTATTTGATGCATTAGTAGTCCCGTCATTCTGTACTTATTCCGTTCACCGCCTTGTTTGCGCGAGGATTCGATTCAACCGCAAGCTGGAAAATAACTCTCTTCATCGACCACGAGGAAAACGTCTAGCTATATACGACGGGAACATTCTGAACGAAGTCCTGTCCAAACGTGACTGGCAGATTAAGGAGGACCCGACCGAAGACTACGAGCTGTTTGACGAAGGACTGAAAAGCTGTGTCAAATTCCCCCTCAGTTCCTCAAGCAAGAAAATCGGATCGCATCTCCATTACTATTAAGGAGTTACTCGAAAAGAGAAGGAAACTGCAGCCTGATCCTACTGCAACACGTTTAGCATGGCATGTAATGAATGCCAGCGGCAGAAGAGCTTTGCAGGAAGATCTACAATGGTACAAGCAAAAGAAAATAATGGAAGCAGCAGAGAAAAGAAGCAGTCTAAAAAATACCGTCGGGACTTGTGTGATTATTATGTTCCGCTGTCATCCCTGTTGAACGAAGGTGGGATCGTGAAAACTTCCCGCCATGATATGGAATTAGTGGCGGAAACGTTCTACACCAACCTTTTCCGTACCACATTTCCCGTACCGGACCCCAATATCCCCGCTGGAGAATAACCACTTGGAATTCTTCCGTCGGACGTTCGAGTTGCAACAGAAACATGAAAGGAGGCACAGCTCCAGGAGCAGACAATGTCACTGCCCATTTCTTTAGAGTCGGAGGCCATGGTTTACATGTACTTCTCGCAAATAATATGTCAGCCAACCTTCGAAAGGAAAAAATCCCAGACCAGTGGAGGACTTCGCGTACGGTCATCCTGCCCAAGAAACGAGACCGAAGGGATCTTCGTAACCATCGCCCCATATGCTTGTTAAGTGTACTCTACAAGCTCTTCACGAAGATTATCCTCTCGCGCATCTCAAGGACATTAGATGAGGCGCAACCAGCCGAGCAAACAGGATTTCGAAAGGGATTTTGCTGCATGAACACATCCAAACCGTGTCCAGGGTCATCGAAGTTTGTTGGGAATACCACTTGCCTCGAGTCCTAACCATTATTGACTATGGAAAAGCGTTTGATAGTGTCGAAACGAATGCCATCCTATCAGCGCTCGTCGACCAAGGAGTGGACCTGTCTACATAAGAACTCTGTCCGACTGTTGTCGGAATTGCACTACGAAAATACAGCTTTTCCATCAACCTCTTACCATACCCATAGGAAAAGGGGTTCGACAGAGCGAGACATTATCGCCAAAGCTGTTCAGTGCCGCACTGCCAGTGGATAATGAAGTCACTCGATTGGGATGAGAAAGGCATACGTATTGATGGAAAACTCCTATCAAACCTTCGTTTTGCCGACGACATTGTCATCTTCTCAAAAAGTACTATCGAAGCAGAGGTAATGATCAACGAGCTCAACGAAGCGTGGAAAAAGATCGGACTTCGCATAAATCGAAAGAAAACCCAGTTCATAAAAAACCCATGGTGTGATGGCGACAAATTGAATTGGATGCCTCTCTCTTTGCGGAGACCACCTCGTACGTTTACCTTGGGCGATCAATGAACATGGAAAACAACATGAGGGAGAAACTAGATAGAAGAAGAAGAGCAGCTTAGGCTGCATTCGAGCCTCTCAAAGAAGCCACCTACCAACTGAAGGACCCGAAAATCCGCGCTCATCTCTTCAAGAATGCTTGGAGCTACTGACAGAGCGCTTTGGAGATGTTTTCTGAAATATTACTGGGACTCTCAATATGTAGCCGGGATGCGAAGCTCTGGCCTTCGAAATCTGTCACATCTTCGCGATTCAGGAGAATATACATCGACATTGAAACATAGATGGGCCGGTCACATAATGAGAAAAACAGACGATGGACGAAAAGAACAGTAGAGTGGACTCCAAGAGAATGCCGACGTCCCCTTGGACGACCACCTACACGTTGTGCGGACGTGTTCGTAAACAAAGTTAATCAACTGTATCCACAGCTGCAGTTGTTTTACAGATCACAGCATGAGACTCGCAAGCGCTACCATGCCCGAACAAGACCACAACCGTGGACTACGATTTGCGAGGGAAAGGAACGAATGGCATATGTACTGGGGTCCACACAGCTCGTGAAAGCGAACCGTCCAAGTATCCAAGTAAGTAAGTAGTAAAAGAATAACGACGATCTCAAGACGACAGCTATTGTTAGGAATATGGCAAATCTAGGAGCACTAAATCATCTACGTCGCAGTCCTCTCCACATACCAAAAGGTTCTGTAGTCAGTAGAAACAAAACTTTCTTCCCATATCGAAATGACCGTTATCACAAATACTTCCTTGGATGGCCCGTCCTCACCGGTTGTGCGGGCATCAGCAAAATTTCTACTTTTTCGGAGTCTTGCTGACTTATCCATTGCGGTTCTCTGGAGTCCCTAGGTGAGTCTAGCCAAAGTCTGCCACAGGTCGTCACCACCACAGGCAGTTGCCGTCTTTGTAGATCAGAGGAGGATTTGCCAGCAAATGACCAGTTTGACACCAAGACGGTTGTGGAGCCTGGTACTGGTTTAGTCCTAGCTGGGCTTCCTGATGGGTACCCCAGCCCAGCCTGGAAACCCTGCTGTGAAGGTGAATATCCTGCTGTACATCGCAGCCTGATACGCAGGAACATCTCCCAACCACGATGAAAAGGTAAACTGTTAGGAGGCTTATCGTAATTGCTACCCAGAAACACGTTTCTACCTAGGAGACATCAGATGTTAAACTTGTGTCAGTACAATGATGAAATATGAGACCTTTACGTTTAGAAGCTTTGTTGTTCGACAAGATTTTCGCAATAGAATCGGCCAGTAGTGGCTTTTCCGCCACCATTAGTACTGTAGTTCCCATATGCCTATAAGGAAGAGTTTACATCTCGCCTAAATAAATCGCAATCCTAAATGCTGCCCTCAGGCTATGCTGCAATGACATAGAGCATACATCATTCATGTACATCATGCATAAAGTTTTGGCTACTAGCCTGGTCTCGGAACTAAAATATATGTAGAGCAGGATATATTTAACGCTATTCTCATGAATAATACTGTGAACAACAACACAAACAACCAAGATATCAACAGCTAAAAAAACAGTACACAAATGAAACTTAAACGGTACTTATTACTATATTATCTGAATACTGTTGGACAGGACTTAATAGGTGGCCACTCTAAGTCGACCTTTTCGACATCAAGTTCAATAATATCCAGCTCGCCTTGCGAAACATTTAGTAGATCGGCTAGTGAGGGCCTAGTACGGCCGAAGTCGCCATGAATGAATTCCTTCACATAGGTGCCTGCTTGCGTTTCCAATCTGAATTTGTAAGCAGTAAGATCCCAGACGGGGGTGCATGTGGCGTGGTGTGGTCGAATACACATGGGATCGATCCCGATGCCCCGGGTTCACCAAGCCCTCCATCCCTCCGAAGTCGACAAACTGATACCAAACTTATTTGGAAGGAAAGCAGCACTGGTTCGATGGATTAGTAGGTAACTGCGGGTCATTGTAAAGGCCAGAGATGCATTCAGTCACCTCCAAACGATACTTAATGAAATTGAATGCATGGCGCATCCCTCACGGATTGATCAACGCCGAGAGCTTAGAGCTTTAAGGTCCCAGAAAATATTATATGCAACAGCGAACGAAATCGTGCATACATATGATTGCCGTAAATGATGGCGATCACGCGCATACAATGCTGACACATTTTTTCTAAAATGACTGCGCATTGTGCAGATCCCAGCAATTTTTTCAGTAAATTCGTTTCAATGAATCCATCATCTACGACGGTCCTAGAATTTGCGTGTGTTCGGTTGCTGCTTAGGGAATTTGGTCTTCTTTACGAATGTCGTCCTCCCTGGAATCCTGGATCACCTGTAGTAAGGCGGCATTCGCAACTGTTTACCATAAGAACTCACTAACTGCTGGATTGGAGGTAACTCTTCGCAGGCAAGTCTGTTACCATTTCAGCGAATTTGGATGGATGGAAGACTTTGTTCGTACATGCCAGGGTTGAGTCACAACTTTACGCTTATTACTGGACGACGTTTCTGCACGTGCCCCATATTATAGAGTGGGGACAAGCAATAATAACGAAAGGAAGAACACGGTACACAAACCTTACAAGAAAGTGGTGACTATCTAAGCGAAGAGTTTCCATACTGTGAATTACTCGCGAACGTTCTAACAACGTCCTCCTCTTAAGAACCCTGACAGGAGTTTTCTGAAGAAGCTCAACTGGGACTTGCTTCAAGACCTTTTCAAGCAGTTCATCGGATATAGGTAGGGTACTATAACAATATGCGACGTACTGCTTCTTCTTCTCTAAAATAAGTGGCTTTAGTAGATTGAAAATGGTTGTGAACAAACAAAACTTACAAGTTACAGTTGAAATATTACAATCATTCCGAGTGGTACGGAACCCATTATGGAAAAACAACTCGTCTACCTACCTTCCTCTCCAATCCTAAGTTTATCAACTTCTTCCCTCGTAATTCGTACAAGACCATTTATGCGAATATCCGGTTGCTTATTAATTTCGTCCTCAAGCTTTCGTAATGTCTCAACATAATCTACCCTAAAATACAACCATAATGATGTTGAGATATGTGCAAAACTCCGGACCGCAGGTACTTGAGGTGGGAAACGAACGCGCTATTACTCATTCCGGGGGATAACGCGTTCACCACCATACAATGCGGGTCCATTGTTTCGCCAGTTTCTTTTCTAAAATAGTAGCTGAGCTAGTGACTGGTTTATTACGTTATGGTAAGTAAAAAGTTGGACAGTAAGACTATTTGTAGTCTTCCTTTATTGCGTACCCTCTAAGAGACTTTGTGAAATGACAGTTGCGTAGTTCAACAGCGAACGGCCTGCCGTCTCCCAACATCCGTACGTCCATATCTTCCCTACCCGATGCAATAAACCGAGCCTCACAAGCACCAAACTTCAATTTCATTAGATCGACAATCTTTTCTGATACCTAAATCCATTCTATTCTGTAGCCAGCCACATAAAATGAGGACTAGATCAACCAAAATCTATGCCTAACCGAGTTTCCCGACTCTCTTGGGGCCATTTTATCTTCGAAAGACCAAGGAGACTGTGGTAAAAATCGTGAAAATTTGCAATATCGCCCAGCCAAAATTACCGGTTCCCGTTCGAATGATATCGAGAATGAACATGAACGTGTAGGAGATGAGAGATTGTAGTTCCTGAAACATTTCATCTGTACAAAATCCTTCATTTTCCTGTACCAACTTCTAGTGGAACATCTTTAACACTCACGAAGACTATATTATTCAGATTTTAAAGTAAGGATAAGGATAAAGCTCTCGGCGCTGATCAATTCGTTAGGGAGGCGCCACGCATTCGACTTCATTAAGCATCGTTTTGAGACGACTGGATGCATATCTGGCGTTTACAATGACTCGTGGTGGCCTACCGATGTATCGAGCCAGCGCCGCTATCCTCTCAGACAAGTCTAGGACCAATCTGACGATCCCGGAGTGATGGAAGGCTTGGTGGGCCAGGGCACTGGAATCAATCCCATGTGTATTACAGGGCGCCTCCGACCAATGCCTCGCACGCGCCCCTTTTCAGCTATACATTAATTATGGTTGAGTGAGTCTCAGATTTCGAGGTAATAGCAAAAATTTCTCACTCACTTAGCAACATCCTCCTTTATCTGCTTCAATATCTGCTCCACTCTCACTTTTGTACAGGGATGAGAATCAGAATGCTTTCGTTTTCTACCTGCTTCGAAGTAATCGGGAAAGTACTTAACAAGGAACTTTGTGTCGGAGTCACTAAATTCGTTATTTTCAAACGTGATACTTAATTGGAGGTCAGTACCGAGAGCAAATCGCAATCCTGACGCCTGAAAGATTCTTTTAGCAACAAAACAAATATTCTGAAACAAAAAAAGCTGCGAAGTAAGCGACGAAACTTTTCAGAAGGCCTTATACCTCACGAAGTTTCGGCAGATAAGCATCGATATTCCGAATCTTGTATGGAACAGAAACCAATGTTCCGGAAAGGTCAGCCCTTGACCGTTTTATAACCACTTCCCGAAGAACTTGTGAAACTGGCAAGTTAAGCGCCAGTGTGCAAGCGGTGGCGTCATAAGGTGATTCTTTGAGCTTTACCTTTACAGCCTCCGCAACCTAAGGGTACAAGAGAAATATATTTAGGTATAAGGAAATCGGAAAGCTTGCTTAAGATCTAATTACCTGCTTTCTACGAAACTTGTAATATAAGGAAAACAAACTTCACTAATGTAGTCCGGATCGAGAAGTCCAAAGCATAAAACGCACTCGTAGGGCTTGTTGACTACTCCAACGGCACAAGCATCCTCTCCAGCCACTTGACGCTGACATAGTGAGCAAAGATGGAGAGTAACTTTCTCATCACTACCAAGAGATGATGGCATGGATACCTGCAACCAGCTATCAGTACGAACTTTTCAAAGGAAAAAGTTGTCTGGACTACCTAGATAAGAAGGCGCAAGCGATTTGGGGAATAGCATATCAGTTCCGTAGTGAATATATGATATACGGGAAAAGGTATCACGAAGCAAAGGCGCTGTTTAACCCCGTTCCCAGTGCTTCCCAAGAACGCCTCAGCTTGAATATCTCAAAGACTCCAAGGAGAATCGGCTATACAAGAACTCTATGACATTCATAAAGAGAAGACGAAATCCTCAATCAGCAGCCAAATCTGCATAGCAGATTTGATGACGGACCACGTAAAATGTTTCTTTTTCTTTTTTATCCAACACGCCTTCACATTTACTATGCGGATCCCAGCGCTTCTTGCATTCGATTCGTTTCCTCGCACCCATCATCACGAAGGTCTCCCAGCGTTCTGCGCATGGCGTCAACTGCTGCTTAAGGATTTTCCCTTCGTCATGAATGTCGTCGAATGCCATTCGAGTAAATTCTCCCTGGAGTCCTGATATAGCCGAACCCGAGCGTTCCCACTTCGATTGCAGAAAGTGCACTTGTCCCAGACAAGTCCGATACCAATTTCCCGATTCCGGAGTGACGATAGGCTTGGTGATATGTGGGAGGCCCGTAAAATGTGGAATATATATATATATATATATATATATACATTGTATACTGGCTAAACACAAAATAAAGTCACGATCATTTATTTAGTTCCTTTGAAGGTTTTATCACAAACAGCTCGCATGCCAATTTATTGAAACTAAACAATAATTTCACTGTAACTCTACTGCTTAACGGAATAATTCAAACAATGTACTCGCTCGATGTGTTCGGGTATCGAAAGACAACGAACTGTAGACCACACATGTTTGGGAGCCTACTCATACACAATTACTGGAATGCGTGTTGGCTCATACGCTCCTAAACACAAAGTCTATGAGGCCGTTCTAATAAGACTCGACTACCACAACGCCGCGGATTTTCAACATCCTCTATCAGAGAGAATTTGACTAGGTAATAAGTAATCAAACCCATAGATAACAACGCTTCCCAACGGTTTACTGCCTTATCGTGGCTAGGATGTGTTCCAGGATGTCAGACTGCGATGTACAGCGGGGGGATTTGTCCCCCAGAAGGGTCTCCCAAGCTGAGAACTAGTCCGGCGTTTCCATCAGGACGGTGAGCTAAGAGTAAACCGATACCAGGATTCACCACTGTCCTGGTATGAAACTAGTCGCATGGTGGCAAATCTCCCTTTTGATCCACAAGGGTGGAGACTACCTGTGGTGATGATGACCTGGGGCAGACATTAGCCAAACTTACCTCGGGACTCTAGGGAACCACAATGGCTAAGCAAGTAAAACTCCGAAACAATGAAAACTATGCTGGGGTGACGGGCCGGTCAAGTATCCAAGTAAGATGATTACGATATACACTGGATAGATTAATAAAAAAAAAGCTCTTGGCGTTGATCAATCCCTGAGAGATGCGCCATGCATTCGACTTCATTAAGTACCGTTGGAGGTGACTGAATGCATATCTGGCCTTTACAATGACTCGCGGTGGTCTACCGATGTATCGAGCCAGTGCTACTATCCTCCCAGACAAATCTGGTATAAATTTTCCGATCTCGGAGAGATGGAAGGCTTAGTGAGCCATGGGCGTTGGGATTGATTCCACGTGTGTCGCAGCGCCTCCAATCACTGCTCCACACGCGCCCTCATGGATGGATTACGTGATCTTATTATAGTCACAATAAAAAGTTCACAGAGATAGTGAATAAACAGCTCGCAGGTGGAACGACCAACTTCGATAACATTACTGCACTATTAAAAGGAAAAAGGATAAAGCTCTCAGCGTTGAGCACCCCCTGAGGGATGCGCCATGCATTCGACTTCATTTAGCAACGTTAGAGGCGATTGAATGCATATTTAGCCCTTACAATAACTCGCGGTGGCCTACCGATGTATCGATCCAGTGCTGTTATCCTCACAGACAAGTCTGGTACCAATTTTCCGACCCCGAAAGGATGGAAGGCTTGGTGGGTGAGGGGCAGAGAATCGATCACATGTGTAATGCGGGCGCCTCCGACCACTGAGCCACACGTCCCTCCCGCCCCTACACACAATTAAGAGTAGTAAACAAGGATGTGAATCCTTATCCAGAGCTTCTTTACGACACCAGCGTTGCTCTACAACCATCTATGAGCGATGAAGAACTCTCATAAATCCTTGTTCAGCAATCGCGAGGTTTTTAAACAGCAAACAGCCCTTCCAGGCTCTGAAGAAGGCGATACTGCCGAAACGTCAGCTAGTATTGTATCGTATTGTGTTTCTCTATGAAAGTAAATGTATGCTGTTTAAAAACCTTGCGATTGCTGAACAAGAGAACGACGCATTCATATTCCAATGCCGAGGTTAACAGGAAGTCGATCCTGGGAACTATCTCATAAATCTGTCAGAAGTATGAACACACCATAATAACAACGCAAGACTACAATTGTTTGATGAAAATACCTTCTATCTGGAGCGAAATGGTTTCCTTTAAGACATATCCAGCAACTTGTGGGACAACTAGACCGAAGAACTGAAGCTGTATGATTTTTCTATGGCCTCTGAAAGAAGTCAACGACAGAGAAGACGGATCATTGTCAAGCCATCATCTCATTGGCCTTTACCGGCTATGCGTTATGTTACAAATGTGTAAGCATAAAATTTGGCTTAGTCTGAAACTGTCAGGTCCATTTATAGAGCAAGTGAGAAGCTTCTCTGTGGTTCTATCGCCACCCGAAGGGTACCGGGACAGATTGTGAAGCCTTAAATTTTTAAGCATCACTTTTCTGCAGTAAAGTATTATGTGCTTAAGAAGATTTCTTAACGAGAAAACGTACTGTCTTCGTAGGAAACTGTGAACGACTTACAAGTATGTAACCTTGAAATTGAGCTATACTAAGGTCTCCTGATAGTGATTAAATAACCAATGTGAAAGTAAAGCTTACGAGAACAAAATACCACAAAAAGTACTGCTACAGTACATGGCAGGTCAGGCCGTAAACAATATCACGCTCCAATCCAGTATTTGTCAACAGGCAATCAGAAGAAGATCATTATTCCGCCGTCCTCATCAGTGTTATCTTAGCCCAATGTGACAGTGGGGAAATGCGCTACAAATAACCCTGAAGCCTAAGAATAACTTACTGATTACTCTAACTTCGATGAAGCAGTGAGCGATAGTAGTCTTTAAAGAGTTTAGACGTCCCAAGGTCCTGAAACATCTATTCTGTCACCTTTTAAACTTATTCTTATCCTCTAATAGAACGATTTATCTGCAGATATCCCTGGACACCACGAAAAGAGTTTCCAGAGACGAAGGCAAGTCATACACTAGAGATTAACGCGCTCCAATCCACTAGTTAACAGGCAATTAGAATAGGGTCGGTATCGGGTCATCTTCATGAGTGTTATCCTAGCCCTATCTAACAGATCCATGAAAAAGGTCCTATAGATAATCCTGAAGCCTAGAAATTACTTAACGATTACTCTAACTTGGATGAAGAAATAAACGATAGCAAAGTATTTAAAGATTTCAAACGTTCTAAGGTCCTGAAGCGACAACTCTCTAACCTTTTAAACTTATCCTTGTATGAAACGATTCATGCGCTATTGGACTTAGTTATCTCATTGCTCCTATTTCTTATGCTTCCATTGAGGCGATATTTTAAGGTTACCATGTTTTGTTATTATAAAGGTGTTACGGTTTCAATCCCAATACCTTACTACTCTGATTTTGTTCTTCAAGCAGCTCTCTTTTGGTACTTTACACGTCCTAAGGTTCTATTCCCATTACTTTGTTTCAAAATCGGCTTTCCTTCAACTTCGATAGAACTCGTTAATACGTACTCTTTCTATGGTATGCTTACACTGACGTTCGAACTTTGGACCATCGACTCGGGTCATCGGACTGATGAAGAAGTCGAAACATTAGCCGAATAAAGATTATTTACCAATCTCGTGTAAGCTTATCAAATGAAGAATACCCATTACTTTTTTACGTCGAGCTTTTATTCGTTGATAATAGTTCTGTTATGATATTTTATACGTCCTAGGGTTCTAATCCCACTACTTTGTTACGTTGACCTTTAGTTCGTCGATAATGGCTCTCTTTTGGTATCTTATACGGGCTGAGGTCCTATTCCTATTACTTTACTACACTGAGCTGTTGTTTGTCGGTAACTGGTCTTGCGAGAAATGATACCATTTAACCCAAAGGTTTTTTAGAGATGAGTAACAAGGGACAAGAAGCTATGAAGAAGGCATTGCAGAACGCGAGAGGTGCTGGTGCAGGTATAGGACTTATTGCTGCTGCGGGAGCTGCTGTGTATGGAATATCGCAGGCAATGTTCACTGGTATGTCTTGAAAGCAATGAAAAGGTTTGGCCACATGAGTGAAATTTCCCTTGGACATTGTTTTTCAATCTATGGTGAAGAACCTGTTTCCAATAGTTACTTTGTTCAAGAACGTGTCTTCTTGAAGAGTGTTCTTCTAAAAGAAACTTCGTTGCAATTTATTTGGATTTCTTTCAGTGTAGCATTCCATACCTCCCAACGCTTTACCACCGCATCGTGGCTGGGACGTGGTCCCGGGTGTCGAGCTGCGATGTACAGCGAGGGATTCATCCTCCCAGCAGGATCTCCCAAGCTGAGAAGGAGTATGGCGTTTCTACCAGGAAGCCCAGCTTAGAATAAACCAAGACCAGGCTCCATCAAACTAGTCACTTGGCGGCAAATTTCCCTTTGATCCACGAGGGCGGCGACTGCCCGTGGTGGTGACGAGTTGGAGGCAGACTTTACGTTGGCCTGACCTCGGGACTCCAGGGAACTACACTGGCTAACCCAGCAAAACTCCGAAAATATGGCAGTTATGCTGGGCCCGTACAACCAGTGAAAACAGATCATCCAAGTGTCCAATTATGGCATTCCATATAAGGACATTGTCTCAATATCGTTTATGCTAGAGACCCAAAAATCTCAAATATGATGTCCAACACTTCCTATAATTTCTTGGAGTCTTTATATGAGATCTTTAATTTTAGTGGATGCCGGACACCGTGCCATTATGTTCAATCGTATTGGTGGACTTTCCAATGATATCTACAAAGAAGGGTTGCACTTTAGGATTCCATGGTTTCAATATCCTATCGTATACGATATCCGTGCTCGGCCAAATCAGGTTCACTTTATTTCTTGTATGCTGTTGTGACTGCCCTCAATCTTCCATAGTAACTTTAATCTGGTCGTGTAGTTTTATGGTCCAACTGTGGGTATTCATTTCCAGATACGCTCACCTACCGGTAGCAAAGACCTACAGATGGTTAACATTGGTCTACGTGTTTTGTCTCGTCCTAATCCCGACCAGTTAGTTAGAATTTACCGAACTCTTGGTCAAAACTGGGAAGAGCGAGTATTACCGTCGATTTGCAATGAGGTACTAACACTTTCTTTTATGAGTTCTGATATAAATGTAGTCCAGGTAGTGATATTTTTAAGTGGTACTCACAATAGTTTTACGTCTAGGTTCTTAAAAGTGTTGTGGCAAAATTCAATGCATCGCAGCTTATCACTCAACGTCAGCAGGTAAGTGATCGCTTAGTTTGGGTAAAACAGTCTATCGTGGATGGTCTCATCTTACAGTTGATTTTACTTCATATGTGCATGAACTGTTTTTTCCGACAATCTTGAGTGTCGAAAAAATATTCTTGGTCCCACTCGTAACAGCACGGCTTTGAAGAAGGCGAAATCGCCGAAACGTCGACCATCGAACTACAACGACAACATTCATGATTGTTGAAACTTATTTGACTCAACATCAACGACGATTATGGAACCACGTAAATATAACATTTGCAAGCTTAAGCGATACATTAAGAAACAACGTATTTTCCTTTCCTGTTTGGTGTAATCCCACTTTTTCAATTGCTTTAGTTTTCAAAGAAAGCTTCGTCGAAAAAAATGAGAAGAAAGTACGCTTTGAAATTTCCAGAAAATCGAAATTTCATCTTGGTAGAGCAAGTTAACAGATTTTATTGGTATAGATCCGTAGATTGTCACATTGAGATAGATAGCTCAGTGGTTATGATGCCGTCGATCCGAAAGCAAAGGCATTAGTTAGAACCCTTCCCAACACTGTCCTCCAGTCCATGTGAGAACGCCTTGGCCCGGTTATCCTCAAGCTTATAAGAAGAACAGGCTCGAGCAGCATTCATGAAGAAGACGAAGCCCTCAAGCATCTGCTGAAACAACACGCGAAATATTCGAAGACCCCTATGGAAATTGAATTCGAGGAAACGAATCGAATGCAAGAGGTGCTGAGAATCGCACAGTAGATGTTATGACGGGCCATGTAAAATGCGAAACATTATGGATCGGAGAGAGGCATCCTTCTTTGGGATTAGCATTCTTGCATGACGACGGCCATTCATGTGAGAATAACGAGTTGTGTGAATTGCGGATGGCCTACACGTCACGTTGTAACAGGTTGTTTCCTGAGAAAGAAATATCCTGTAGTGGAACAGTTCAATCTTCTAGAACTTCTTTAACGTTCCTTTTCTCTTATCTTATGATTTTTAAAACTTATTATTGTACTAGATGTAAATGCAATTTAGATGGGGATGCCGATTTTTGAGAAGCTGCATGGCTGTTTTTTTCAGGTCTCGATGCTAGTACGGAAAGCTCTGATAGAACGAGCACTGGACTTCAATATTATACTTGATGATGTCTCACTCACTGAGTTAGCGTTCTCACCTCAATATTCCGCAGCTGTGGAAGCGAAACAAGTAAGTATTGCAAATGAGTTCTGCTTTGTTAAGGAGAAACGAATCGGGTCGGCGGGTGGATATTATATGGTATTTATACAACTTCGAAACTTGTTTGCAGTCAAGAAAATTCGAGAAAATGACAATAGACTCTTCGTTCATTAGTTCTTGTTCTAATTAGAGAGGAATCAAGTATTCTCACCACCCAGGGAATGAAATAAGTAGTTGAGATTTCTGTTAAATCAATCTGCTTGTGTAAAATTTGAATAAACACCTTTTGCGCATTTTGAAGTACTTCACCAAAGTATTTTTTGCTGTACTTCATCGTTGTGGTGGAAATTCTATGCCAAGGGAATTATTTTAAAAACGGGATTACTGTCCAGGCGGTGACTTGCTTTTTGTTTCTAATAGTTCTTAAGGTTTATGAGTTGCTTATATGTGTAATGTATGATATGTAGCATTCTTTTCATAGCTATAGTGTTTATGTTTTGTTGGTCACAAATCGGGCATTAGCTCTATACGCACGATATCCAGTGGAATGTAGTTATTTCAGCTTATCGCGTACTGTCTACTGACTTTTTCTCAACATTTTATGTATTTTTTATCTATTCATATGACCCATCTTCACGTCTACTGTGCGGATCCCAGCACTTCTCACACCATATTCATTTCATTACATCTATTATCCACAAAGGTGTTCCGAATTTTTACATGTGGCTTCGGCTACTTCTTGAGGATTTTCATTTCATCTTGAATGGTGTAGAATGCTGGTCGTGTCGATTCTGTCTGGAGTCCTGAGATAACCGACCTGGAGGATTCCCATTTGGATTGCAGAGAGTGATTTCTTCCCGGAGAGGTTCAGTATTAATTTCCCGACCTCGGAGGGATGGCAGGGGCTTGGTTGACCCGGAACGGATTCGAACTAGCACTATGTTCGTGATGATCGATATCACTGTCACTGTGCTGTACTATTCATTTTCTCAACATTACTTGGCATTATACTATAACATGTAACTTCATCTTAACAAATTAAGTGGGTAGTCAGTATTTAGTGATACCTGGTGCCGAAATTTTTGCTTATAAAAACTTTACACGACTCGTTTTTATATATACTGTGCGGATCCTGGCATTTCCTGCATTCGAATCTTTTCCTTGCATCCATAATCCACATAGCTTTTCGAACTTTATGTGGATTCGGACTATGCTGGAGAATTGTCGTCTTCTTTATGAGTACCATTTAATGCTGCTCGAATGAATTCTCCTCAGTTCTTGGGCTTACCGGGGTGGAGTGTTTCCACTTGAATTGCAGGGAGTGAACCGTTTTCAGACAAGTTTGATATCATTTTCTCGACCACGAAAGAATGAGAGGCTTTTTGAGTCGACGCGGGGTCGAACCAGCTTCGTGGTCTTGATGAACGGTATCACTGTCACTGCGCTATCCGTCCCATTGTGCCGTGAGAGGCTTGACCTTTAATTTATACAGGCGTCGTTTGCCTTTCAATTATCCTGGAAGTCATGTACTTTTCAGACATAACGTTTTTGTTGTGTTTGGTAAATGTCTCGAATTTTCACGTAACCACTTTCATGGCTTCTATCTTGCTTAATCAACCACATACATGTTTAGATGGCCCGCTTTCCTATGTTATGCAAAGTTCTTGGATTCTATTAGTTAAAATGCAACCGTATTCAATGAGGTGGCAATGTTCGTGTGAGTGTTCGGCTGTACCTTAACAATCTACTCTTCTCTGCTCGCGAATGTGTTGACGAAAGTTGAGAATAGTACTTTCTTTTGAAATAACAAGATAGCCGTTCCCAGTTCTTCACCATGAGGAACCACCAGCCGTATAGTAGATAGCAGGGCAGTTTGTTTCCACGTGATTTGCATTCCCTTAGGATGTCGTTCTGTGGCTGTGCAATTCGTTCGAGCCGGGTTACCAATGTGTGTAACAGTGAAAAATTGTAGCAAGTTGGATGCCTGTTAGATTTGTTCGCTCATTTTTGTTTATCGTTCATGTTTATTTACTTATTTTTTGTTATCTTTCAAAATTTTTAGCCTATATATTTCTAAATAACTACTTTCTTGTAAAATGTTCTGCATCCTGAAAAATCTAGCGGGTCTATTGTGCTTTCATGGCTATAGGTTTAGGTGGCAGCACAAGAAGCTCAGCGTGCTTCTTTCCTTGTGGAACGAGCTAAACAGCAACGTCAGGAAAAGATTGTTCAAGCGGAAGGAGAAGCTGCATCTGCGAAATTGGCGAGTTTTGATTCTTATCCATTGTTGCTTGGTTTACTAACATATACGTGGGATCGTAGAATGGATTTGGTTTGATTTTTTTTCGTTTTACAATTTTATACTACCCGTCATCATATCTACCATGCCGCTCCCAGCACTTCCTGCTTCGACCTGCTCGCATCCAATATCCACGAAGATCTTCCAACTTCTTTACGTGTGGCTTCGGCTGCTGCTTGAAGATTTCGTCTTCTTTATGATTGTCGTAGAATGCTGATCGAGTCAGTTCTCCATGGCTAAGGCATTCCCACTTGGATTGAAAGAGAGCGTTAGGGCGGGGGTTCAATTAATACCTTTGCTTCCTGATCGACTGCATCGCTTACCACTGCGCTATCCCCACCCCGTTTACTTTTAGTGTGTAAATACTCAAAAATGGTTAGTTTTCCAACTTCAGCTAAAACATATCTCAAATAATACTTGCCTTAATTAATAGAAATAGACTTATTAAAATTCGCTAGGCTTTTTCATCACCCATTTTTCTTGTTCTACCGCGAGAAAACCTCTATTTTCTGGAGCCTACAGATCTTTTCTTCGTCGACACTCACATCTGGAGCATAGATTCTTTTGGGCAAACAGGATTTTGTTGAGAAGGACATGGCGGTTGATGCCTGCATATGCTCCGCTCATGTTCACGGGTGTCACGCTTGCGTCCAGTGTTCGGAATTTTTGAGTGATCTTTTGAGTTCTGATATTTTCTTACTTTTTCAAAAATTTGAATTCTGTAACATTTTAAAACAAGAAGGTTCTCAAAGCACCATGTGTTGAAATTTTTGGGAAGGTGATGACTGTTTTCGAAAAGTCTTAGAATGTCGGGAATCTTGACAGACTTTGGTAAGCTTTTCCAAGTTTGTTGTAAAAGCCGACATATATAATTCTACTATTGATCATTATACTACAGGTTCTTGACAGTGAAAAGTACCTGTTATAATTCATCGAACATTCACCGCTGAACTATAGCTTTCTTTCGTCAATCCATTGTCTAATTGTTCTTGTTTAAGTTGGGAGAGGCAATGAAATCCGATCCTGGTTTCTTAAAGCTACGAAAAATTCGGGCTGCGCAAACTATTGCACGTCTCGTGTCGGAGTCAAATAGCAATAAGGTACGTTTTTTTCTTTCATATCTTTTCTCTTCATAGTTCGTGTGCTGTAACGGTTATCCCATGCAGTTATTAAATAGCTATTGATCTGTCAGGTGTATTTACCTGCTGGTGGCCTCATGTTAAACATTGCTGACGCGGATTACATGGATATAAACGATGGAAAGAAGAAACGATAACTGAGGATCTGTTGTTCCTTCTTGGATGCTATCGAGTATTTTCTTTGTAAGGTAGACAATCCTACAAAAATTGTTATTTTATGTTAAATGTTATGTTTTTTGCTAGCCTTTATTTAATAACTAAAAGAAGACTTCCGTTTAGTTTTATTTTTAGCCGTTTTTATGTTCGATGTTGTACTCTTAGTTTAATGTCAAACGAATTTATTCCCATGTGCGAATGCTGATTCGTTCGTTTCTGTTGTAAACAAAATCATTCTAAGGCAAGATCATAGTCGGCACCACATCCTATTTACAAATACAAAGTATAAAAGGATACAAAGGAAGAAATATCGATTATCACTGTGACCTGTGCCTAACAAAATAATAATATTACTAGTGAGTTGATGTACTCTGATGGAGGACATAAGATGCGCACGTGAAGGAAATAACCATTTTCCTATGCTTTAGATTTATCTGGCGACTAGATTTCTTTTAATTTTCCGTCCATAACGCACCTAACTATTCCTTATGTAGTCCTCGAAACATGTTTTGATATCATTCAGCACAGCCCAACATGGAAGCATGGACACGTCAGCCTAAAATAGACAAATTCATTTCAACTGGCTTTGCTCTGTGTGTTGTTTCTTATCCCTTTAAGAATCCGATAGATACGCATTTCAGTCCAACAATCCTGTTCCCTTCCCGCTTTAGAACGTCTGTTTGGCACGATAGACAAGCAAGCTGGTTATTGCGCGGCAGGGAACTTGCCCTATCAAGAAGACGGGCTGTTGACCGTAGGGCGTTGCGACTGCTCAGTAGCGGTTCTATGACAGTTGGATGCGTATGTGAATGTAGGGGTGTGGTGGTACGATCTTAATGACAACTGGCTAATACCCTGAACCCCATACTGATTCTTACGTAACTGTGGTCAGCAACAGGTAGCAAATGACAGGTTAGGTAACGGATACAAGTATACAAATACAGATAGTTGTCGAGTTTGATTTTTACTTTTTTTGGACATCTGAGGGAAATGTATTTCGACACCGCCGTAGTACGATAGAACGGATTAGTTGACTCGGCTTCAACCTCTGCGAAGTCGTAATCCACGTAAAGGACAAACCACAGATTTATGCCATAATAAGTTGAGGAGAGCAATTTCGGTTGAAAAAATGGGTGGGATGCATTAACTGGGTGGTGGTCTGTAATTCCATCAATCATTGAGTACCTTGGAAGGCCATCAGTAAAGTCCGCACTTTTCGGCATAGCTCAACCAGAGATATTCGGAGATCATCTCGACTCACTCGAATGTTTCAAAGATAAAAAGGATAAAGCTGTCGGCGTTGATCTATCTCTGAGAGATGCGCCATACATTCGACTTCGTTAAGCATCGTTGGAGGTGATTGAATACATATCTGGTATTTACAATGACTCGCGGTAGCCTACCGATTGTATCGAGTCAGTGCTGCTATCCTCCGAGACATGTCTGGCACCAATTTGCCGACTCCGGAGGAATGGAAAGCTTGGCGAACCTTGGCCGCGGGGATCGATCTCATGTGTGTTGCAGGGCACCTTCGACAACTGCGCGGCACGCGCTTCTCACTCGACTGTTAGGAGGGCATTACCAAGTTCAGTATAGACTTCCGCATTTTCGCTTCCTATCTTTTTTGGTAATAATGTGGTCACAGGTAGATTTCTATATTCAGCTATAGCATGTCATTTTCCTTGTAGTTCGATTTGCGACAAAATGGTGGCCTTTATTCAAACAAAGCTGAGAAAGTGTAACTTCTATTGACTGCCCATTATTTTTCTTTTCTTCACGCCAAGGTATAATGTGAAACATAACCACTGTAATGCTGAGATATTTGCGAAACTTGATCCCCAGGCCAGATCAAACCTCTGCTACCCTTTCCGGGTATTTCTGAGAGAGAGAGAAAGTAATAGCCTCAATGGTGCCGTGCGTAGCACGTGAGCCCCTGGAAAGGGCAATCGCGGTTCGATCCAGCCTGGGGTCAACGTTCTCCAAATATCTCGACATCATATACGTGAAGATATTCAAGGGTGAACACCCATTGTATATCACATTTCGATAAGCAGGAACATCCCTTTTCCTACACCACTCACTATAAGGTGGTGTATCACTGTAAAGAAGTCCTTCCAACGGTTTACCGGCTCATCTTGGCTGGGAGGTGTCCTGGATGTCGGACTGCGATGTACAGCGGGGTGATTCGTCCCCTCACCCCGGCAGGGTCTCCCAAGCTGAGAAGGAGTCTGGTGTTTCTATCAGGAAGCCTAGCTAGGAGTAAGCCAATACCAAGATCCACCACCGTCTTGGTATCAAAGTTGCATGGTGGCAAATCTGATCCGCAAGGGCTGCGACTGCCTGACCTGTCGTGGTGACGACCTGGGGCAGACTGGGGTCAGGCTGACCTCGGGATTGCAGAGAACCACAATGGCTTAACCAGCAAATCTCCGAAAAATGGTGATTGTGCTCGAGCCCGCACAACCAGTGAGGACGGGCCGTTCAAGTATCAAGTATCAAGCATCACTGTAAAGAAGTAGACAAATTATTGCCGCTGAGATTTATAAAAAAGAAAGCGGTGACAACCATTCATCGTACTTTCTGTTTCTGTTAAAGAGTCTTGTGGTGATGCGTTGAAAGTTTAACTAGTATTTGCCAACTACTACTGAGAGTTTCGTTGTGAGTTGAAAGCAACTGTACGATGTGAAACTATGATTTAATTAAGAATCCCTATACTACGAGATTTTTTACTACTTCTCTACTGTTTCGACGAAGCAGCATCAATTTAGTGATTCGTCTGGTTTAGGGATGTGGATTAGGAAGCATTTACAGCATTAGTACTTCAACTTTTATAATGAGCTATCCACATTCTCTTGAGGTTTTCAAGAAAAAGAAGCAATCTTCTCTCACTTGAAAATTAACTCCTGGCCGCATATTACAGAAACCGAGACATTTGTCTCCGGCGCTGGTATTTTGTACTCCCCGAGAATGGCAACAAGTAGTATGGTCCTGTGACTGAGCGGCGCATTGCAGTAGGTCCAAGCCGTAAGACTGAGGGCAAGGATCTGTGCCCAAGAACATTCCAGTCAGCTGAAAACAGCAATCTGTGAGATTGAAGATATTTTAAATGAAAACCACTGCTTTTTGCTTTTGTGAAATAGGGACTGGAACAAACTAGTGCATATTAGTTTTATAAAAATTCCTGCAACAGTTTGGAATTCATTAAGCAATTTTGCCTCGCATTGTTAATTTAGCTGCTGTTCTCACCAAGCAGTTAGCAAAGACATTAGGTTGGAAGTTGTACATTTAGCGACTTCCATAAAGAAGTTGCCAGAGATTCTTCGATGAAGAAGGAAACAAGTTGAACGACACAAAGAAGGGAGAAAAGTGGTTCGCTCTAGGGACTCGCCGAGCATCATATCTTTCTTCAAGACTGTTTGTGAAGAACTCTGACCATCGGGTCGGTGGTCTTCCTGCAGTACGTTTAACATCCCAAGGAATCCAGTCACTAACGGCTCTTGTCCATCGGTTGTCATTCATACGCACTACGTGTCCGGCCCACCTTATCTTCGACTGTTTGGCGTACAGAACGGCATCTTTGGTTTTTGATCGTTGACGCAGATCGGAGCTTCGGATCCCACCTCTTACTTATGTGGAACGGGTTACTCCTGCACCGTCCTTTCGACTGCGCGTTCGATAACGCTGAGTGACCTTTCACCCTGCTTACGCAGCCACCACGTTTCTGATGCATACGTTAAGGCAGGAAGTACCGTTGAGTCGAAAAGGTGGGCACGGAGTCGGGTGTTCTTTGTTCTCTTCACTACATACTCGGTGCTCTTGAAAGCTCCACAAGCCGCTCGTTTCCTTCTCCTCAGCTTTGGAACTAGGTCGTCCATCATACTGATTTTCCGACCTAGATAGATATAACTGGAGCATTCGGAGATATTCGTTCCGTTGAGCGTGAATGGCGCATGCGAAACCAATCCGTTCTTCATGAACGTCGTTTTTGTGAGATTTAGTCGAAGACCACTCTTTCTGCAGATTTTATCAAAGTCGTCAAGCATACGTTCCGCTTGGCTAATGTTTCGTGTTATAAGGACGATGTCATCAGCAAAGCGAAGATGGTGTAACTGCCAACCATCGATTTTCACTCCCATATTATCACATTCCAATGTTGGCATGACGTTCTGGAGGGTGGAGGTAAATAATTTTAGCAAGGTGGTATCGCCTTGCCTAACTCCTCTTTTGACGTCAATGTTAATATCGTTGTAGAATGGTGATACCGTGGTTGTGAAATTTTTGTACATTTTTTTTGTAATCTCACGAAGAATCTTTGTGTATTAAGTAGGGACTCCTTGACTATCAAGAGCTTCCAAGACTGCTTCTATCTCAACTGAATCAAAGACCTTCATTAAATCGATGAAAGTGAGACAGAGCGGTCCTTTGTACTCTCGCGATACTTCAGTGAGCTGTGTTACCGTGTGGATGTGGTCCATCGTACTAAATCCTTTTCGAAACCCTGCTTCCTCACATGGCTGTCTTTCGTCTAGTGTTCTGTCAATCCTGTTTAGGATGACTCTAGTGAAATGTTTGTAGACGACAGACAGTAGGCAAATTGGGCGACAGTTGCTATCGCTGACGTGAAGATGTTGAACGAGCCGATCGTATTCTTCGTCGATGCTATCGATGACGACATCTTCCCAAAAGCCGACTGATGAATTGAATAAGTCCCAGTTTGCGGTAGTTCTGGGACTTCGGTTTTGGAATTTAGCGGCTTTTTCTTTCCGCGAGGAATGGAATCCTTCAAGAAAGGGACAATAGTCTGATCCCGTGTAGAATTTTGGGACAACAGCGACATCGGTTAGGTAAAACTTTTCATTTACTGTGATGTGGTCTATTTCGTTATGGTACTCTCCAATGGGAGACTCCCACGTCCAGCACTGAGGGTGGGGCTTCTGGAATTGCGAGTTACCACGAATTGTCTTGGTCGCCATGATGAACTCGGACAGCCGCTCACCCTGTTCGTTCCATTCTAATCCGTGGGTCCAAATGTGACGTTCCTCAGACGTTCTTCTTGGTCCAATCTTGGCGTTGAAGTCTCCAATGATGATCTTGAAGAATATGCGGTCTTCTTTGTAGAACTTCTCCAAGTTCATATAGAACACTTCGACTTCTTCTTCGTCATAGTTTGACGTTGGCGCGTGAACGATGAAGTTTATCAAAGCCGGAATTGGTCCACGTCTTTTTGATCATAAACGTCCGATTCGGGTTGTAAGTTGTTCGAATGAATCGACCTTCATGGACAAACTCGCGTTGACGAGAAAGCCGACGCCGCCGATTGCTCTATTGTCGCATGTTCCGAGGAAAAGTTCCTCGTCCGGTGTCATAGACGGCGTTGAGTGGGTGTCGTCGTCTCGTCTCAGCCAGGCCGATGACGTCGTATCTTACCCTTCTCTTGCACGATCACGTCTTCTATAGAGGACTCGGATGCAAGTGTGCATGCATTGTAGGTACAGATTGCCATCTTAGTTCTTTGCGATCCATATAGCTTACATTGGCCCTGTGATTTTGGCAGCCTGTCCGTACTCGTCCTACCCAACGCTGCCGAATTGGGTGCTCTTTCGTGGTCAGAGAAATGAGGCCCGTTTCTTTTACCGCTTTTAACCTTTTGATACTTACGTATAGCTTGCTGCGCTCTGAATGTGGGGCTAGGTATACCCAATGGTAGCTTACGAGGCTGTCACGGAGTGGGCACGGAGCTTATTTGTTGGAGGCGACTCCTAGCCGCCTCCCATATACTTCCCAGTCATTTGGTTGCAGGCTTTTGGCCGAATTGACTCGTAGAATACAATCCACATAAGCAAGAACGAACCTACACACGCATGCATAAATACGCCTAGCAAATGCAGACAGTATGTGTCAATTCAGTGTAGCAAAAACAGGGAGTCCATCCCCTGGATCCACCTGCGTCTTAGGGAAGTGGAGGTCGCTTTTGGTCCGCGATTAGCCCCCTATCCGCCACCTGGGGACGCGCCACGTAGCCTCGCGACTAACAGGCTCAATATCCTTCATATGAGTAAGATCCGTGGTATCTATATCTACTATAACCTTCGTAATTATTGAATTTCGAGTGAAACTCCAAGTGATGCATATGGCGTGATCCTTAACATACCATGATTTCCAACGAACGTTAAGGAAGATTAAAGGAAACACCGAAATTTAGAATTTCCCAGTTGGCCCTGCTCGTTGGAGGGACACAATAAGGCACTTTTAGTATACAGCCTTTTTATTGCTGTCGGCTCCACGGTATTTGATTGGAAGCTTTTAGTCCCGGATCCTATCCAAACAAATACAAGTACACCAACACACAAAAGGTATACGTCAATCTGGGCTGAACATCTTCCAAATCCACCTCCTCTGAGTCTTAGGACAAATACATCACCCGTGACATGAAGGAGCTCAAGGTCGCGTCTTATGACTGACATTTTCGGAATCCATCGTACAAGGGAGATCTATGGGCTTGGATGGATAAATACTGTAACTCTAATTCTAAGTAAAATCAACCAAGTTTTCGGTGAATTGGAAATGAATAGCATGTACAAAGACGGTAAACGAAGATTGCGATGGATCTATTACAACAGATTATTCTGTAGCTTACCGTCTTCTTATTCAATATGTCAAAATTGCATATTCGTTCGCATGACTTTGCCACCTTCACCGATTTACAACAACTTAAAAACGCCTTATTCGGACTCTGAAACATTTATTTTAATTATGAAGAACTTTATCAAAGAAATGCGTTAAATTATCGATACCTTCCCTCTGACTGTTGACATTACGTCTTTTCTCTTAGTTTTGACTAGAGATGATTTTGGTGAACGAGTGGTTGCTGGGATTCTAAAAACAAATTCTAGCTGCTGTAGAGGTATTTTAGAACTCCTTTTTGTTATGGACGAGTCGAGCTCCGGGCTAACCAAGCCTCTCATCCGCCGGGGTCGGGAAATTGGTATCGGACTTGTCTGGGAAAAAAATGCTGCAATCCAACTGGGAACGCTCCGGCTCGGCTATCTCAGGACTATAGGGAGAATTGCTCGACCAGCTTTCTACGACGCTGAAGATGAAATGAAAATCCTCAAGTAGTAGCCGAAGCCACACGTAAATGTTGGAAGATCTTCGTGGACAATGGATCGAATGTGAGAAGTGCTGGGATCCACACAGTAGATATGAAGACTGGTCATATAAAATAAGAAAAAAGAGAATGATTCATTTCACTAATACGATTGCAATGGAAGTAAGGCATCTTGGGTTTAATAGTTTCGTTCTTAAAAGAATCAATTATGACCTTTCTTTTTTTCTCTCAAGTTGTCACCAGTTAAATCTTCATCCCTCCTTAACGCAGTCCAAAGTTGTTCAGAGGTCCACTTTTTCTACGAGTGCTTTTAATGTCTTTGGCAAAAAACTAGTCTAAGCATACTATCTGGAAGTCCAGCTTTAGATACTGCTATATTATTTACTTACTTATTTACATAGCCCATCATGTCTACCATGCAGATTCCAACACTTCTTGCGTTCGGTTTGTTTCCCTCGCATTCATCGTTCACAAAAATCCTCTAACACTGCACTTGTTTTTCCGGTTAACTTCTCGACATCTTCGTCTTCATCAGAGCCGACGATCCGAGTTCCATTTAAACTAGGATCGTCGACCGTGATGAGAACGAAGATGTCGAAACGTTAGCCGAATAAACATCTTCATCAACCTCGTGTAAGTTCAACGATATAAACACATGATGATTATTTTGCTACAGAGTTTAAATGACGCCCAGTTTCAAAATTATTGTCTCGCTTGTTCTTTTAGCTGCTGCTTGAGGATTTCGTCTTCTAAATGAATGTCGCAGAAGTCGGTCCGGTCTCTAGTCGAGTCGATTATCCCTGCACCTTGGAGATACCCGGGCTAAGGTGTTCCAATGGATTGGAGGAGGGCGTTGTGGAGGGGATCTGGTCCCTGATCGACGGTATCACTAATCACTAGGCTGCTACTCCTCCCTCCCGATTCAAATACTTGCCGTAAAATGTTGTGACTTCCAATATGGATATATATAATAATATATAAATATATGGACCAAAATTCGGTTACTATGGATGTACAGATTACTCACCTCTGTGATACCGGCTTCGTCGATCTAAACGAAGATCGTCGAGTCACCAACATAGACCTTCCGGGACTCTGAAAGAGAATCACTGAATTTAGACGCCCATGGGGCAGATGTATAGGAATTCGACCTTGAATTAACACTTTTGTAGCGAAAATCATATGCTAATGTGAGGAAATGAAAGGGTATTCTAGTTGAAAAATAGTAAAGAAAAAATATTTGAGAAGCACTGATGAAACTTTCTTACTTTAAGAAAGAAAAAATAGCAATAAATTAAACTAATTGAAGGACATGAAGTGCACTGTCACGGGCGTTCACTTCTCTTGCATTTTTCAAGCCATTTTTTTCTGGAAATTTTACCACAGCATTCTTATTTTGTGATGGAAAAGCGAACTTTCACCTATCTTCCTCACATCATAGAGATCCCTCTTATTCGTAATTTCTAATCAAAGTACTCGCAGTGTTTGATGAGTTTGAAATCTCGCAAACTTATAGTGTTCTTTCCCTTCCATGTCGCACCTACTCTCTTGTTCTAACAGTATGAATTCTAAATTCAAGGACCTCCGTAGTGTAGTGTGTAATACGTGAACCCACGGAAAGGGCGATTCCAGTTCGACCTGGCCCGGGGTGCAAGTTTTGCGAATATCTCAGCATCGTTGTGGCTTTAATTCCCATCATACTCTGCCGTGAAAAATTATATTAGGCAGAAAATAAAAGGTTAATATTGTGATTTCGACTACAGCCTCAGCTTAACTGGGTTCAACGTCAATTTGTGCTACCCAGATCCATCCCGCTGACGGGCGACTGCTGATGACAGCGTTGTATAGAAAAAAGCTGGGAGAAAAGCAGATCAAGGGCCTCCGTAGTGCAGCGCGTAATGCGCGAGTCTCCGCAATGGGAAGTCGTGGTTCAATGTGGCCCGGCGTCCAAGTTTTACGAATATCTCAGCATCGTTGTGGCTTTAATTCTTATCATACCCTACGGGGAAAAATTATAATAGGCAGAAAATTAAAGGCTAACTTCTATAATGTTGCGATATTTGCAAAACTCCGGACCGCAGGTGTCTGCTGTGGGGAACGAACGCGCTATTCTCCTTTCCGGGGAGTAATGCGTTCGCCACCATACCATTTGGGTCCTTCGCTTCGCCTGTCTCTCAGTTAGTTCTATCGATCACTTGCCATCAGCAATCACCCGTCAACGGAATTGATCTGGGGAGCCCAAATCGGCATTGAACCCAGTTAAGCTGAGGCTGTAGTTATAATCACAATCTTAACCTTTTGTTTACTGCCTAATAAGACAATAGCGCGTTCATTCCCCATCGCAGACACCTGCGCTCCGGAGTTTTGCAAATTTCTCAGCATTATAGAAGCTATACTTCGCAACATACCCTGCCATTAAAAAGATTAGGCAGTAAACAAGAAAGTTAAGATTGTAAAAAGTTAACAGTATAAATTCTTTTCTGCGATATTTTCATAACGGATTTTGTTCCGAAATTCTTTTGAAACTTTTGAAAAAATAAAGTTTCTCGAGAACCTCAATATAGGCTCAACAGCTGCCAATATTAACGAAACTTTCAGGGATATCATGGCGCTCTTCTGTACGAAATCTATTCAAACGCTTTTTTATCCGAAGAAAAAAAAAGTTAAAAAAGCTAAAAGCTAAAGATCTGTTGGTACAACTAAATTGCAAGTCAATCGTGGTAGAACTAGAATGCCTGCGCCTTATTTTCAACCATCAGTTGATCATGAATGCTTCCACATCTGCTGGGTTAACCATGAGCTGAGGTACGAGAGTTTCAGGTTTAAGGACTAAACTATTTTCTGATAATGTTATACCTTTTTATTTTCTGCCTATTATAATTTCGTTCCCCACCATAGACACCTGCGGTCCAGAGTTTTGCAAATATCTTAGCAACGTTGTGGTTATTTTCTGATACTTACCAGTTTTATATGGCTGATGTGTTCGTCAGTGTCGTCACTAATGTGTTATAACTCTTCCTATGTTTCTCTTACTACTGTTGCCCAATAACGTTGCATATCACAACTCGATTTTATGACTTACTAGAACGAGGAGTTCATGCTACGAAAAACGGATGGGAACTGGCGCTGTTCTCTAGTTATTGGTCGTTTATCTGATTAATGTCCGCCATTTCTTGGACATCGAACGAAAACCGGAGTCTTATGAGACTTCGTGACCAATAACAGTTGAGCAGCACACGAACGAACCATCGTCGCTAGTGGTCCGTCGCCCACTCACTCTCAATTGCTCCTCCTTGTTTGATACGTTCGGTTGTGGCTTCAAAACTCGTCCAAACTGAAAATCGAATTGGAATGCGTCTAGAATATAGTATGATAATGAAAAAATATACCTTTTTAACTGGAGAAGTCTTTCCGATATCTTCAATATAACTAACATGAATACCATTTACATTTTTCTCGTCGCCTTCATACAGTACATCTGGTAGGGGCTGCAAATTGTGACATGGCCCAGTTGCACCGACTACTCGAACGTATACTCAGGAGTAAGTAAATCATATTGGGCACTAAGATTTTCGTTATGCTCCTACAATAATTGTTATATATGCCTATGAATTTTTCGTGTGTTGCCCAATAGTCAATGTGCGAATTACATGGCCCTTAGTTCAAAACCGCGCGTTATACAAACTACGCTACTTTTCACAACATGTAAACAGACGTGAATTTTTCGGTAAGGTTAATCATTTCTTATGAGTAAAAGCTTTTCTAGAAGAATATCTCCTGTACTTTATTATTCCTATGAAATTAGCATTTGGGTGACTACACTACCTCGGAGGTGATTGAGGAATTGAAGGCGAACTTTGATGGTGAATAAGGTCGATCCGGCATTGGTTTCCCGTAGATGTCAGCGAGATGCGGAATGAATCTCGCTGGAGGTGGTGGGACGCGAATCTGCGCATTACGGGGATTTAAGAAGTCGATGGCCTTGAAATGTTTCCAGAAAAAAATCTTTCTTTATGCCTCGGGCATTACTCACCCGCTGCTGGATTTCCAGACGTGGCTCGAACTTCTGCGGAACTTGCGACTTGTTCGGAACCGAATTTGAGACCTGCATGGTTTCGATTTCCAATTTTCATGGACTATTTTTATTTCCTTATTTCATACAACAACGACTTGAATCGACTCAATCAATCCTATGCATCTTTAAATCTCACAAACTCGTAAATAAAGCGCTGAAAACATAAAAATTAGTGAAGTAGAGAACGATGTTCTTGAATTTCCAATTTCTTTACTTTTATTTTCTTAAAGACACTTAATAGGGCTGATAACACAGTGGTAGTGATGTTCGTCATCAGAGCATGGTACTAGTTCGATTCCGCTGCGGGCCAACCAAGCTGCTCATCCCACCGGGGTCGGAAAATTGGTACTGGACTTGTCTGGCAAAAAATTAACTCTCTGAATCCAATTGGGAACGCTCCAGCCCGGCTATCCTAGAACTCCACGGAGAATCGACTCGACCAACATTCTACGACATTCGAGATGAAATGAAAATCCTCAAGCGGCAACCGAAGCCACACTTAAACGTTGAAAAATCTTCGTGGACAATGGATGCGAGGAAATGAGTCCAATGTGAGAAGTACTGGCATCCGCGCAGCAGACAGAAAGACAAGTCGTATAAAAATATTTTTAAAAAAGACACTTAATAGTGCGTTTTTCATAGATAGAGAAAGAAGTTGGTAAAAAATACAAAAGCTTCTGTTCCAAAAACGTAGTAAAATCTGCTTTTCTAACTGGGGAGTCGCAGAGTTCTGTTCCGATTCCAACCCTCAGATCAAATCATCTGAGTCATATGATTAACCTAAGCCATTCTCAGCAAGCCAGAAGAAACCAAAGTTAGTTAGTTTTCAAGAGGAACGAGTCTAGAAGTGGTTTATGCACTGTCGCAGGTGAAATGAAAACGGAAATGGTTATAGGAAGCTTTTAAAGATGATTTCTATAAACACACCATAAATTGTTGTCTGTGAGTCCTTGTTGGCTGGTTATGAATCAACATCGGCTGGAATACTTCCTGGAAAAATTACAAACATAAACTTAACATTGCCCGCCTGGCTTTGTGAGCATGTCTACTAGTTGAGTTCTGTTATTGTGCAAAAATTGTACGTAATGTAATATTTCTTCAGAAATGCCCTATAATATTTTTCATGAAGACATACTGGTTCATTTGACGAAGTTTTGCGAATTACCTGAACTTGTGGTCGCTGATGAAAGGGAGCCGGAGGTGGTCCGGGTGCAAATCGCTGCGGAGGAAATCGTTGCATTTGAACCTAAACCAATTCATCTACAAACCAAGAAAATCCGAACTTCCAGCTATTTTCAAATATACCTTGTTCGTCTACACATGGATGATTCGTTCAAGAAAAAATCATTCTCATCTTTATGAGAAAAACAAAAGAAGCAAGTGGAGACAAGGTTGTCTTAAAAATCTGTTTTTTGTCAGAATATTCGAATGATGCTTGAATTTTGCATTCCTTATCGTCGGCGTAGTTTTACACGAGTCTTTCGAATCACCAGCTTTGTCAGAAATTTGGATCAAAAAGCTGCTCTGTTCTCATCCAGTGGAGTTGTTGTGTAACAAAATTAACCTCAAGGATATATTGTGAATGCCATTTCACTTGAGTCATTCAACGAACACAAAAGAGAACAATATGATAAACCGCGCATACTATTAATATTTGGTGGTTGCAGAAACCACAAAGAATTCTGGTAGCATCGCGTTTTTCTATTTCCGGAAGAGACAGGAAACACTACAGGCTAAAAAAAATGATAACCACCTTATGAGGTGAAGCCGCTGTTCTTTTGACGACTACTGCATTTGTCGTTAGTAGCTGAGACGTTTCGGCAAACGAAATCGACGATGGTAGTCTGATGGAGAAGGACTTCTCAATTTTTTAACTTGTAAGGGACTTCTATTCTAGAGTTGGAGACGTAGAATTATTTATTAGCGCTGCCGCATTAGTTATCAGAGAAAAGTTCTATAGACCGAGTTTCTGTTTGCGATTGCGATTTTTTTCAAGAACGATGAAATTGATTCGTCTAGGAAGCGAACCATCACGGATGACGAAAATTAGAATGATTGACACAATTTAGAAAATTATTTGATAACACCTATCAAAAAGCTGTGCGTAGAGTGTGTGATGAGGGTTCTTCCTATCTACGACAAAGCATGGTTCACATGGTTAAACTGTGGGTTTGGAAGAAAGCCATATATAAAGAACTGCTGCAAGAAAGCTAAACTATTAATTTGGGCAATTCCGGCTCACCAAAGATTAAAGCGAAATAAGTTATGAACTAATAAGCTAGTAGTATCGTTGAACGGGAGAAAAGCTATTATCCACCACGACAATCCAAACCGTGCGTATACCTGACGCTCTTAAAAAATGCTCCAGGATTTGGCTGGGATATTTTGCCTCGACAACTTATCACACCTTACATTCTGTATCTAATCAGATATCACCAAAACAACTTATTTATATATTTTTTATATACATGACCCAGCAAAGCTAATATATAATCTCGGAAAATCCCTGTGGTTCTCAGCATACCTTTAACTTGATTCATTTCTCCCAATTCGTTATCCACAAGTGTCCTCGTATTTGGGTATGGATTCGATTGCTACTTCAGGTCTTCTTCATCGATGTCGTTGAATGCTGGCCTGCTTGAGATCCTAGAATGGTTGCGCTACTGCTTTCCCACGACTTCACTGCAGAAAGTGGTCTCCGTTCCTGGATTGGAGAAGGCTTTTGCAAAGAGGGCTATTGCAAATTTGCCGAAGTCGGAGAAGTGGAAGGCATGGTCGACTCGGGGCGGGATCGAACCAGAGAACCCTCTCTTATTATTGAACGGCACTTCTATCCACTGTGCTAATAGCGTAGCATGATGTAAAAGGCATGAATTTAAAATCGTTAGTGTAAAAAGCGAAAGATCTCGACGTTGATCGACCTCTGAGGGATGAACCATGCATTCGACTTCATTAAGCATGATTTGGAGGTGACTGAATGCATATCTAGCCTCTACAATGACTCGTGGTACCGATGTATCAAGCCAGTGGCGCTATCTTCCCAGATAAGTCTGGTAGCAATTTGCCGACCGTGAAGGGTTGGAAGGCATGGTGAGCCTGTAGTGCCGAGATCGATCCCATGTGTATTGCAGGGTGTCTCCGACCACTGCGTCACACGCGTCCAACTTCTTTAGTACTTCGCAGAAGTCGATTATTTGAAATTGTTCATTGCACAAAAATCTTCCAAATTTTAACGGCAATGGATTGCGCTCTTATTAGAGAAGTGACGAATTGCCATCGAACAAGGCGGAGAACTTTCCATTAATTAAGATCAGTATTCTGAAGTGAAACAAATGTCGTGCGTGAATTTTGGATCAAAAAAGTGGGAACTTTTCGTATCAAACTAACACCACGTAATTTTGAAAACCTTGAATTCAATGACATTGATACGGTGAAAAAATGACACAAATTCAATTTCAAAGGCTTTGATTTCTTTACAAGGTATACCTGTCGTTGGTGCTGTTGCCGGATCGCCTGGAATTGCATGGATTGTGGCCGTTGATTGGGAAGCTGCTGAACTCCTTGCCAATGCTGCTGTCGCGGTGCAGAGACGAGCACCATCGAGTTCGGCTGGGACATCATCTGAATCCTTGTCTAATAAACTGAGTTTCAGATATTTCTTTGGCTGATGCACATTCAGAGCCGCTTTTCCTTCTCTATGAAGGAAATTCATGTTTAGCAATCACTATTTTGCACTTTTTGGGATATTTTTTTATCCCGTAGATCTTATGGGGTTCACTCGAGGTATGGAGATGACAACGAAGCATTGTGCATTAATTCTGTAACTATAATTGTTCTACGACTCGAGCCATTTTTTGCACGGTAATACGACTTTGAGGGTTCCTAGTGACAGCGAAACTTCACCATTCAGAAAGTTCCCTTATTTTTTTTATTAATGAGCTGTTACCTAATTAAAGGGCCTTAATCGTCACGAAAGCTCTCATACCATTGAACGTTCACCATTATGAGGCACATTGGTAATGAGATACGTATGAGTACATTACCAGGATACCGGCATCAAAAACACATGCACTTCAATATCGGGGTCCTATTTGCTTGGAACACAACCGGTTGAATTTAAAACAACATTTAAACGGAGACCTTTAAAATGATGATCCGTGACTTAAACAACATGTGAGCTCTCCAGCCGATGTTCTATGACTCTATCCAGAAATGATCGCTGCCAGCTAACACGTTATGCTAATATCATTACTTTTACTTTCGCGAAAAAATCTATTGTTCATCTTCCACTCAGTAATTTAACCAAGTACAGGTTCAGATGCCGACGTTTGAGCAAAACTCGGAACCTCACTTAGGCTTCGAACCTGCGTTACCCTTACTAGGTGCTCATTCCCATTGGCGAGTGATTTCTGATAACACCGTTCGAGCAAAAAAGTGGTTGAAAGAGAGGCAAAATAGGGGTATCGGTTGGCGTGGTGCATAACACCTGAACCTCTGGAAACAGTAAACGCGAGTTCAAAGCTCAAGTGAGGCTTCGGGTTCTGCTCATATGTTAGCATCCTTGTGGTTGGACTTCACATAATATTCTTCCATGCAAAAAGAATACGCAGTATATGAAAGTCAGAATAGCGAGTTAGCAATAAGAAGAATAGAACAGATCATGGGACGTTAGTGTTAATCAGTAGCTGTTAAGTGCTTGTTTTGAGTGTGATCGGAGGAAAGATTGTCTTGTGGAATGCGGCCCGAATGCTAACCCAAAACATTCCGTTAAACTGCATTCTCCGGATTCCACTTAACTTAACATCATTACCAGTATTGAAATGATACAGCGAAAAATAAAAACTTGTTTTCAGTTTATCTATTTAACACAGCACTAGATAAATAAAGGTTACGTGAAGGATAAATCGTTTGGCGTTGATCAATCTCACGAGGGCTGCGCCATGCATTCGACTCCATCAAGTATCGTTAGATGTGATTGAATAAATCTCTGGCCTGCATAACTATCGCTATTATTTGAACTTCCTTACCGATGTATCAAGTCATTGCTGCTATCATCCTAGGCAACTCTCGTACCAATTTACTTGGTTTGTAAGTGGCGCGAGGACAAACCAATCATTTATCGTCTCATTCTAGTACTGCTATACTTGTCTTATTTTCCAGTAAAGAAATAGAAACACATGCCTGTGCTGGTTGTTGAGGAAGGAATTGTTGCTGTGTTGGTGATAGTTGCAACTGATGAGAAAAGAATTGTTGTTGTTGTGGTGGCAGTTGTTGTGGTTGTTGAGGAAGGAACTGCTGTTGCTGTTGAGGTGGTGGTCGTTGTTGTTGCTGAGGAAGGAATTGCTGCTGTTGTTGCGGTGAATAGAACTGAGATTGTTGCCAGTTTTGCCATCTGTTGTAGAACTGCTGTGGCGGTGGCTGCTGCGATTGAAAGAACTGCTCTCTTCCTTGTTGGAAGTTTTGTCCATACCCGACGCTGATAACCGCTAAATATGGAGAATATTTTTGAATCACCAAACGTAATTCTTTCTGTTACAATTTTACTCTATAAATAGTTAAACAAAAACAAGCACTCTTAATTGAACGCTTTTCTAATCATGTTGGCGATTGTTCATAAGAAGAGGAACTACTGGAAGTGAAACCACAGGCGCCGCTTGTTAGATTGCATAGGATCAAACGAGTTCTCTCTAAATATGGCAACAAATAGCTCATGACAAGGCGGAAAACTAGTATTTATCTTGATAGCAGGCCATTCTAAGCAAGAGCATCGCCTGTGGAAAGAAATTAGGGAACAGCGAGTCTGATGGTCCCTTAATGGAGTTGCTTAATATTTTTGTTGGTTATTCAAGCGTAATTGAAGATCCATGAAATTAGTTTGCCAATGGCACGAAGTTGACAAAAAACGTCGATCAGAAAACGAACACTTTCTATGTCAAATAAGCTTTGGTGAATTTCTGATAATTACGAAAAAATTTGATTATAAGAAAGCAACCGAGTGTCAACAGATCTGTCCAAACAATTCTAAGTTTAAAAATTTTGGGGAATGAAATCAGGTAAAACAGAGGTAAATCCAAGGAAAAAGTTTGTGAGCAACCCGAACCACACAGCTTATAGAGAAAGAGGGGTTGCTTGGTTCATAAGCTCATATTGTGTAGCTCCAGTAAAAGCGTTGCTTGTTAAGCTTCACCTCTGCTCGTGCACGATAAACCCTTTTCTATTCGCATCTTATGGTAACTGGAACTACAACTACCACTAGCCTTACTCTCAATGTAAGTTCTCTCTCGACGATTAAGAACTTACCAACGACCACGGGAAGAAACGTGACGAGTTGCATTGGGTGGTGGCTGATGAAATGCCGTGTGTGTTTCGCACCCGTTTCAGCTAGTGGGCGTGCCGCGTGGTGGTCGGCGAGCGACACCAAAACGAGGTTTTGTGGTATCTGCAACGAAGACAACGACAAGAAATCTAGTCACAAACCCTTGCTAGTGGCATCACGGTGCCCGAGCTCTCACTTTTTCATCGGTATAGTCCACTAACGGGCAGCAATCGACTTATCCACCTTAAGACGTGACGCTCTCTTCCAGTACATTCCTCTGTCAACTACTTTGCGCAATGCAGTCCCGTATGTGTTGTCGAGGAGATCATGTTGTAGAGTCAGCCAAATCCGTCAATCTGTTCATAAAAATTAGTATTTTATTATCCTTTAGCACGCTCGTGCATAAACACGTACACCACAAATATCGTCGTAAGGCTTCACTTCCTCTGAAGGTAACCTTTTCAAAAGCCCTGAAATTTTTCCATTATACAACCCACGTTTAGAGAATTTTTACAATATGAAGTTAAAACTTTCTACTGCTGCTCTAAAAAGTAGGACCTGTTTAATTCATGAAAACTTCGATTATCCCTGGAAAAATGCATCCCTTATAAAGCATTAGAGAGCATCAAACTAGATCCTAAGGATCCAAGTATCCCACCGAAGGTCGCGAATTCCCGTTTGCATGTTGTTCCACCAAAGCCACACCAGACCTCGAATCAACCGAACGTGAAGCCACATTATCAGGAACAATAGTTGAGCCTTTTACAGGACAATGCTTTCTTGTCCGTCCAAGCAGATTAATAGTTGGCAGTCAGCTTTATTATCCTATCCTATGGAAGGTTAACATTTGCCATTATTTCTACTCTGCAGTTAGATTCTATCGTTATAAAAACACGGGTGTGGGAAAATTTTTCGAATAATTTTTGTTGACAACTAATGTTCTGGTTATGTACATCATGTGGGTGAAAGCGTCAATAAAAGGCATGCTCTAAAAGGTGTAATTTTGGTTAGTTACATATTAAAATCTACTCATGAGATGCGCAACACTATGCCGAACATTCAGGTAAATTTGGATCTAGCTGGATTGTGCACTTAAGTCGAGATGGAAACGGATTCAGCGGATGGCTTCCCACGATCTCTGCTGTCCTTAACTAGCTTTTGTACACTGCATAAATAAAAATAAAACATAAAGTCTCCTGCATCCATCAATCCTTGTCTGGCGCTCCATGCACTGGTTTTTCATCAAACATAGTACAGGCCGTTGAATGTATAGCTCACCTGTACAATAATTTTTATTGGCCTTCCGATGTGCCTAGACACTGTTTTCATTCTCCCAGATGAATCTGGCAGAGATTTTTTACCCCGGCAGGATGGAGAAGTTAGTGAAACAAGGCGCGAGATCGAACCAAAGGCAGATCCAGTGTGTAGTGCAGCGTACCTGTGGTTTCTTCGTACGTGGACCATATACTGAATCCGATTCGGCTAAAACCCGATGAAATTCCCGTACTTTCCCTCTCACCGAGAACAACTAGAAATAATGAATCTCTCACGAAAAATGTGATGCTTGTCGTGTACGCCAAGCCTGTAGTGCCCATTCTCCGACCAAACGATGTGTGAGTGTGAGGAATGAATTTTGGTGTCGCAATGTGTCAGGGTTAAATGATGACTAACAGGCAGGTATTATTGTGCTTGTATTTTCACCAGTAAGCTGTAGCACAGTAAAGGTCCTTCAGCTTCATTTATCAGCACGACAGAAATTTTTCATGGTTATTACTTTATCTATAGATTTATCAAGTAGTGAAAAAGGAATTGCTTTCTCTGAAGAATTCTTTAATGACTGCCGGCTAAACATCAACAAGTAACGTCTGGAACTGATTTCTCGACAAAGGATGGCAGTTTCTCGGTATGTGAAAAATTTGAGGAGCTCAGAACATCGCAGACTAGGGTGGATTTTGTATAATCAAATTAAGCTTACATGTAACTTTGATAAGGCATTTTCCAACCATAAACCCGTTTGCAAATAAAAGTTTCAAAAGATTGGAAACTAAATTCAGGTTTTTAAAATTTTCCTCCGTAAGTATGGCCTTTACAAGCTTAAGCGATACATCGGGAAACGGCATGTTTTCCTGTTGTGTTAGATGCAATCCTACTTTTTCAACTGCTTTCGTTTCCAAAGAAAGCTTTGTCGAAAAAAAAGTGGAAAGAAAATGCGCTCTGCGTGTTCCAGAAAATCGAAATTTTATTTTGGCAGAACAAGGTAGTAGATATTTTATTGATATAGATCCGTAGATTGTAACAGTAAGGTGGGTAGCTCAGTGGATGTGCTGCCGTCGATCCGGAAGCAAAAGCGCTAGGCAGACCTCCTGCCAACAATGTCCTCCAATCCACGTGGGAATGCCTTGACTCGGCTATCCTCAAAATTGCAAGAACAATCGGCTCGCGCAGCATTATGTCTATAAGGAAGACGAAATCCTCAATCACCAGCAGAAACAACAAGCGAAATGCTCGAAGGCCCTTATGGGAGATGAATGCGAGAAGTGCTGTGATCCGCACAGTATATGTGGATTGACAGGTTATGTAAAAAAAAGATTGTAACAGGTTTTAGTTCAATTAATAAATCTTGTTATGAACTAATATGTTAGTCTAGACTTAAAACCAGAATCGGTCCTTACTTTCGTGCCGAATGTATTGGGTTCAACACATTTTGGGGTATGTGTTTTAAGATATAACACACACTAGAAGCGTGTTCCATTTAGAACTGAGGACATCTCAACAACAGGCAGAGAGTCTCAGATAGCGATCTTTTCAGAGATGTTCTTTAAGTTTTACGAGATAACAGCGTAAATTCCATTAAAGTGTAATAGTTGCCGTTTTTTCACATGTCCTTTAATAATATCGATTTCATACAGTAATAACGAAATGCCGCATTTACAGTTAACTCTTTAAAGTTCCACCAACAAAGTTTACGGATCTACACGAGGTAGCCACAATGGTTTTCTAGCCGTCATTATATTGTTTATCTCACTGAACGCTGATACGATATGTGTAAACTACTTTATTTAAGGATAAGAAGGGTGTGAATTCCACTGATCTAGCACTATCTGGCAATCACTAATGAGTATTTCTCTACATAGACGCACATCTAACGTAGTGGTTAGAGGCATTCGGCAGTACGCGTTATTTCGATCCTGTACCCTGAGCCCAATGAGCTATCCATGCTCGTCCGGGGGTATAATAACTCCGAATTAATACGTCAATAGATCGCCACAAGTTATCGTCCAGGTCAGGCATCCATCCAGTCACCTCTACGATGCTACGTATGGAGTTGAATGCATGGCACCTCCCTCAGGGATTGATCAACACCAAGCGCTTTTCCATTCTTTGCCCTTTTCTTAGATATGCTTTCGATGCACTTCACTATTGTAGTAGTTGGAAGCCGTTGGAAATTAAATGGCAACAACTCCAAGGATTCTTTTAATCAGAAATTAAACACTTCAGATCCTCGTGAAGAAAGTAACTGTTGCGGCTCTTGTGTTGACAATCCAGTTCACAGGTGTATACCATCCCAAAATTTAAAATCCTTTCCCATTCTCCTAAGTGGTCCATCGTGTAGTTGGCACAGACGTCTCCGTACTACCCGCTCCATCGTCCGTTTAAACCCTCACCGACCCCAGCGTTAGCTTTCGTCCCTCATTGCACGCTCTGACTCTCTTCACCTAACCACCCACCTGCATGTATTCCATTTCCCATTGTGTACATATGACTCAGCTCCTGGTCGACCATCTATTTTCTGGCCTTCTCGTGTACAGCTAAGATTCAGTGTCTTTTTTCTTCTTCGAGAACTTCCTAGCTCTTCCGGTTACACCTATTCCCTTACCCAATTCAAATTTTGTAAATTCTCTGATAGCATCGATAAAGTAAAAAGTTGATCGAGAGAAAGCCAAAGCAAGGACTACCATCGGTGTGGTGGATGGCACATGAATCCCCTGCAAGGGTGATTGCGAGTTCGAAGCCCAACAGACGTTACAAGTTTTGATCACATCGCAGCATCCCCGTAGTTTCTTTTCACATCATATTCTACCATGGAAAAAGAATAAGAGTAGATAGAAGTCAAAACATCAACTCTCTGGTATTTTGCGTCAAATTCATTAAGGCCATGGAATATCTTGCTAGTGATATTCACTGTATAGGGAAAATTTATATTTGAAAGATAAAGTGTATTGATTTCTGTCGTTCATTCTGAAAAACACCACCGTTTTCCACGAAAAGAACCGTTGAACTATAGTTGCCATGAATTTTTGATGGAACGTACAAGGTATGGCAGATATGTTTTCGTTTTTTTCACCTCAGAATATGTTCCTTGAAGTTCTTCCGACTTGAAGAACAAGAATTTCGCTTTCTTGTCATTCAAACCGAATTAAAAGCATTGTCAATGCAAATAGATGACTCTCCTCTAGCTCGAACCGGCCTTCTCCTCACCCAGAACTAAGGCGTGGATCCAGTTTTCGCCCACGCGCATCAATTTTTGCTCAGATTTGAACCCTCCTCTCTTTCTCGGTTCCTTGTTTATTTGCTTTGTAATTTCTATTCGCCTTCGCCTATTCATCTATGTATAGTTTTCCTCCTAATTTATTTATTAAGTCGCTCAGTTTGAAGTGCCGCATCTCAAAATGTGAAAGTGCCAGGCATTTTTTGTCATTATGTTCCCTTCTCCTGTCATTATAATGGATGGCGCATTTCTTTTCCTTTTGGCGCATCTCTTATGGATTGGTCAACGCCGAACGGTTTTCCTTTTATCCTTAATCTCTCTACAACTTTGTAGTCGCTTTTCACATTGCTGTACTATCTGTCCGAATCTCATGCTTTCCTGCAATCCACTCGGCGAGAAGGTTTGAGCACGCCCTTCGTTCCGCATCGTTCTATTTCAAAAGCGAAACCATCAGAACAGTGTAGAACACTGTGATTTTCACAATGTTTTCACTTTGGTTCTTGGACAAGTTTGCAAATTCATTTTCCAAGCGATTCTTCTCTGACACATAAGAACTGTGGCTTGCCGTCATTTGCTCCCTGTATCCTCACTTCCTCCCTTTATCCTCACTTGCCCCCTGTAACCTCACTTGCTCCGTGTATCTTCACTTGCACACTCGACGTACCACATCGACTGATGTATTGCTGAGAGGCGAGAATGACAGAAAGTGCAGAAACACACGGAATTTCTAGGATTTCCACTTTAACAAAAATAGTTCAGAGCAATGTTTTCTTCATTCTGATTGAATCATCTTCATAATGTGAGTAGCACCGTTCTTAGTCGACTGTTCCATCTCAAATCTGCTCACTCAAGTAACTTCCAAATAATTTCTCGAAAAAAAAAGTACCTATTGGAAAAAAAACTTTCCAAACTGGCCGTGACTTAACCTGATGGGCTCTGATGAAGTCGAAGACGTCGAAACGATAGCCGAATAAATCTCTTTAACAACCTCGTGTTAGCTTAATAATCGGAAAATAAAACACTGTCCAAAAATGGCATTAAACGAAGATTGCTTGGGAATGTAGTCATGCAGAGAATGCTAAGATCTTAACGCTCAACATACCTGCACACTACTAAACAGCTATGCGGAATGGACTTGTATGACTCTCCAGTGCTTCTTTCTAGGAAGTTATTACTTATTGACGATGAAAGGATAAATCGAATTTCTGGAAACGATCATTTCCAGTTTTTTCTCGCCAGCATACTTAAAGACATGAACCTTGGGGCACTGGCAGTACCACCAACGCCAAAGTTTATGAGAGTCAATCGTCCTTGTGACAGTTACCATCATTGCCATACTTAGGTGTCTGTGCTATATCTTTTTCTCCATTAAGAGTAAGTTAAGTGATTTGTTGTCCAGCATTAACAACGACGGTCAATTTCTTTTAACCGGTGTTCCACAGCCTCCTGCGAAATACCATAAGAGCTCGTTTATCTGTGTTGTATGGGTCCTTCTTCCATTCTCTGCATATTGGTCATCTAGGAGGGTTTGTTGTTTCATAACATATTCCTGACAACTGAATTCGTTCTCATTATTCTAAGGAGCACATCGATTGATAGCGGAGCTCACAGTGTTTGTCGTTCTCCACAATCGGTCGGGAATAATCGTAACGAATCGATAATGAGCACAAGCTCACACCACCTACGAAAACCAGGTGTTCCGTGGGCCCACGAACTCCACTATATTTCAAATTGTTCTAACTCTTACTTACTGCGTATTCCTTTTTCATGGGGGGGGGGGGGGGGGGGGGGTATTATGTCTAATATAATTGTAGGGATGCTGAGACATGGGCAAAACTCGGAACCTCTGCTGGATCTCGAACCCGCGACGTGATCATCCTTTCCGGAGGGCCTGAGGTTCCGAGTTTTGCTCACATCTCAGCATCCTTGTGGTTGTATATCAAGCTGTTGTAAGATTAGACTCTAATCGCTTACTTGTACTAGGGAGAAATTGTGCAAGATGGCATTAATCTCTACTAGATTATAACGTGATTTTTGTTGCTTATGAGTACAAGATCCACGTACTAACTAGGCCTAACATTGTTTAACTTGCCAAATCGGACGGAGAGGTGAAGTAATACCACGAGTAGGGCGCGTGTGGCGCAGTGGTCGGAGGCGCCCTATAATACACATGGGATCGATCTTCACACCCTAGTCCCACCAAGCCCTCCATCCCTCCGGGGTCGGCAAATTGGTATCAGACTTGTCTGGGAGGTTAGCAACACTGGCTCGAGACAGTAGTAGGCCACCGCGAGTCATTGTAAAGGCCAGATATGCATTCAGTCACCTCCAACGACGCTCAATGAAGTCGAATGCATAGCGCATCCCACAAGGATAGAAAAACGCTGAAAGCTTCTTTTTATGAGTATGAATATTAAGTGAATGTCAAGTAAAATCCCCTCTTAGATGTTTTTTGCAAAACTGCATCATCTGACTTGGTTGTTGAGAATAAATGATGGAACGAAACTACCGAACATAAGATTCGACATAACGGTTTTATATTGAGGTTTTTAATACATCACACATCCACATATGCGGACTACGTCTAATTTCCTAAAATACGGCACGGAACGACGCCTAATTTTCGCTACGTCCACCATGAATCACATATGACTCGTGTCGTTCCGGATTTTTTGATGATGATGTGTTCTGGTTTTCTAACATGGATAGTACTGCTGCGTCAACTGTCCTGTCAGTTTGAGGCCTTCACCATTTTCCTCAAGGACCTATTTAAATGTGTGGGAAATTTTGTACAGTATGAGTAGTACCGAATGTTCATTTTTTCCTCATAGTGTATTTATGCTTATTGAGGTGTCGCATTACCGGCTTAGGTCTGATTTATTGGTTTGCTTTCTTCAGCTGGTACTCGACAACGATGAGTGCTACCCAGAAACGTTCGTCGTTCAAAATTCATCGTTGCCGAGTATCAGCTGACGAAAGCAAATCAGTGGATCACCTGTCATTGGTATCTAAGTCTATTAGCTGTCCATTTAGTTCTGATTTGTTGATTGTCATACATCTCACTAACAAAACTGGGGTGCATTGTTTGCTATCCCGGTTTCCTATTGTTAGGGATATACTAACACTTTAAGAGGTGTTTTCGTGAAAGCTATCCATCGCTGAACGATTTTACTTGTCTTTTGTTCTAAAGTCGATATTTTTCCTTATATTAATATATATATACTAGTTTCTACTGTCGTTTAGTATAGCTGTTGTCTGACTTGTCTCTGGTGGTCCAAGATTCGTGGAGACGGTGCTTACGGCGTGGTGCCTGACGCTCATCGTCGCGTGAAGCAGTCGCCGGCGATCACCAACGGTCGCATTCCAGTAGTGTTTCATGCGAAAGATGGATGTTTCAATAGGTATCCATCTTTTACTTTTCCAGTTTTCTAGATGTTCGTTTCTTGTATAGTATCTACAAGGGCGCGTGTTGTGCAGTGGTGTGAGGCGCACTGCAATACATGGGATCGATCCCTGCGCCCCAGACCCACCAAGCCTTTCATTCGTCCGGGGTCGACAAATTGGTACCAGATTTGTCTGGCGGGGTAGTAGCACTGGTTCGATATATCGGCAGGCCACTGCGAGTCATTGTAAAGGTCAGATATGCATTCAATGACCTCCAAACGATACCTAATGAAGTCGAATGCATGGCGCATCCCTCAGGGATACATCAACGCCCAGAACCTTATCCTTTATCTTCTATACTGTCTACAGATTCCTACTACCCTGAATCTTTGCGATGTTTTCTTTCGCGGTTTATAAGCTAACCTCAAGGCTGAGGATGGATTTGATAGCAGTTTCACACTTTATTGTGTGATCGAGTGCTTTAAAGATTTTTAATTCTGTTAGCTGTTTGAATAAAATTGGAAATTGGATATTTAGGCTTCCCTATGCATCGCTCATGGCTACGTTTCTTTGCTTCATTGGAGTTGTTTTGTTCTCCATCATGATGACATGGGGATTCAATGCCACAGTTGAACAAACAAGAAGATCACTAAGGATACAAGACTGGCCATGGTTGGACAAAGTTGGTTCAGAAGTTTTCGTTTCTCAGTTTCTATGTTTTTCTTCAAACAGTGAAGCTAAAGTAAAGGCATTAGTTGAACCGTATAGGCTCATGCTCATATGCATCATAGCGATGCGATTCTGTCTGCTTTGGACGACAGCGGTACCTCCAAGTTAGTTGATAGGGCACTGTGGGATGGGTATATAGATAACTGATAGTTCATTCAATAATTGTTGACTGTTCTGACTGAAAAAAGAATAGAATCGGTGGTTAAGCTGTGTCGATATGATGAATTATACGGAAGCCGAGGAGTACGGGCTGTGTTCCCAGTTCTCTCGGAAGCCCCCATCTTACTGGCGATACGTTTCACATGTTCTCCCATGGAGCTGAAAGTGGATGGACATCTCAACCAGTTCAAGAATTTTACGCTTCAGCAACAAAGTTATCGAAGGATGTGAAATCAGGTCCAAGAAAATCATCTCATCTTCGGGATCTAGAGGAATGTATTACGAGGAAGGATCAAATGTGGACTGGTCATGTGATGAGAAAAGTCGGAGTCAGATACACGAGAACAAGATCGACTGGAACCATCATAAGGACATACAAAGGAACTGAAGTCAATCACAGGATTGAAAGTCCAACTGGATCGTGCAATAGACGTCACCATATGCGAGTCGGATCTCCTCCATTGATAACAGCTGCGATAATATGAAAAGAACCAGGATATGCTTGGGACCGGGCGGCTGGTTGAGGTGGCGTTTTCAGTTATCCAGTGAAGATGTTGAGTGTTCTTGTGTGAATCCTGCTCACTACTTGTACTTGATTGTTTTTATTTGTTTGGAAGGTGGTTTTTCTAAACAAAGGGGTTCTTTCCAGGTCCAAGTATTTTTCGTGGTTATTGCCGTTTTAATGTCATTGTTTGCTCTGCTATTTCTTCTTGTTGGGTTTTCTGCTACTGGAGCGACACGAGAGGAAATGTTCAAACGTGAGTTGCCTTTCATATCTTGACCCATTAGCAATAAACTGTTGTTTATATTCTTGTTGAGCAAACACGAGGTGTTGTTTCATTCTTTATTCACGAACAAGCTGACGTTTCGGCGGATTTTTTGGCTGGGTAGTTTACGGTCAACTTGACCACTCCAACCTATAAGGAAAGCGAAATAAGCCGCAACGTCTGCTTCTTCTCAAGAAAGAGTAAAATAACATCTCTTGTCAACAGGAGTATAAGGAATGATTTGATCAATGCTGAGATTAGTAGAAAGTGAAGTCGGTTTTGGATATAAGCTGGTAATTTATTTTGAGGTACAGGCGAAAAGGCTAGATTTGGTGGAAGATGCGCTTGCGCAACTGCAATGGCTTGGTGTGTGCTACTGGTATGGAGTATTGCTGTAAAACATAGAGGTTAACAGGGGCCGGCATCTCCTTGATTTTACCACTTGCAGATTGTTTGTTGGTTATTTATCATCTCAGTCTGTTCGGCGTTGTGCTGTGCCTACTCGGTTTTTGATGATCTTTGCTACGCTTTGACGTCTTTCACTGAAGAGGATTGTATTGACCTTGGAGTCTTTATTCCGTTGGTTAAAAGCTTTTCGAATTCCGTGAGCAAAGTTTTCTATTTTACCTTTTTTTATTTCCCATTTAACTCTTCTTCTGGTATTTATCGGTGATAGCGTGTTTGATTTACTTTCCTTCCAGAATTTACGCTTATGTGGCGGAGACGCTCAACAGTTTTGTGCCCTTTCATCGACTGCCAGTTCTTGGTACATTGTCGGTTGGGTGGGATCTTGTTTCGTCATTCTAGGATTGGCATTTTTTCTAGCAATCCTCGCCTCCAATTACACCCATGTTGGTAATGTAACTAGGTTTGTTGTACTCAGTTGTTAGTATGTTTATTTAATTCCCTTAAGATCTTTATTCTAGGTATGTAGAGCTTCGTGATTTGGCTTTGGAAGTATCGTCAAATGATTCTTCTTTAAACTTCAAGCACAATGACGATGCTGTCTATTGTCCACGTCCGTCGTGGGCAGAAGTGAAGAACGAGTCTGTAATGAATAGGAATGCAAACGGAAATTTCGATTGGTATGTCTTTCTCCCTAGGTCTGTTCCACTAAACATTCTTACAGTTTAGGACATTTTAAACATGTTATCACTTTTTCTAATGGGTTCTTTTCTAATTCTAATGGTTCTTCTAATAGTTCAGTTACAATTTTATTCGGTTACAACATGACCAGCGAAGAGCCAAAGAGAACCTGGATGCCAATCTTATGAGCTTCTTCCAGGCGAACACGTCACGCTGACTCGTCATCATGCTCCAGATTTGCTGAACAGACTTCTAACTCTTCTTTGAGTTTCTACAACTGTCGCCGTAGTTAGGAGGTATTTTGTTTGTAAACTGAAGAACTTTAGCTTTTTGCGGTTATGATGTCAATGTTTAGCTCCTCGCTCATTGTTGTTTCAGTCAATAGAATATTTTTGGTCAGTATCTTGTCTGTCTTTTCATGTCCAGGCTGTGATCCTTACTTGCTCTAAGGGAAACCTCCGGAACGTTTCACTTACAAAGTAGTAGTCCATAAATTAGCTACCAGGGTTGTATATATTGGAAATTGAAGAATTCCTATCACTTAAATTCTTTCTCCACATGTTTCTCAGAACTTCTTCTGTGTCTAAATGTTGTTGCAATAGGAAAATAAGAGAGAAGGATTTGAAAAGAGAGGTAAAAGAGAGAGTTTGATGAGACTGTAGCGAATTTGTACGGAAACGAACTGTTCGTTTGTTTGTGATTGTTCAAACATGTCATTTAAATTGTCCCAAGCACTTTCGGACTTACCACTGTCTTTAGTATTTGTAAGTTTTTTATTGTTACTTAGGTTCTGTCAATTTGGAGATGTTTGATGACTTAGGTCTAATTTTATTTGAAGTAAACGTTTATTCCAAAGTCTTGTTTTTGCTATGAGGTTAGGTATCCTCGTACATCACTGTTAGCTCCGATCCTCTAACAGATTGACTAGATAACTAGTGCACAGGTATTTGAGTAGACATGTTAATACCATTCTTTATAACTTCTTATGTTTACTATGACTTGGTACTATTTAGTACTACTCGAGTTTTGTTGAAAAGAAGGTCTTATTCACCGTTCGTGGACTGTTGATTTCTTTTTTGGACTATTGGGATTCGCTTAGAATCGCTGGCTGCGACACTGGATGCCTTACGAGAAATATAAGAACGAAAACGGTTGCGTTATCGACGTAGGCAGAACTTCTGAGCAGCTGAAACCAATTACCGAGAATATCTCTTCAATTATACAAGTTCTTGGATCAGTGGTTCGTGAGATTTCTGTACCACTTGGCCTTAGAACTGGTTAAATTCTGATGTTGACTTGTGCTCCCTTCATTCTTATGATTACGTATTCTTTTTCTCCAGCTGCTGAGTTGTTCATAGAAGACAAATATTTAGAGTGGACTTGCTACGAAGTGCATCGGAGACGTTCTTGAACGTAGTGCAGTAGCTCTGGAGGAGTTGAACACACTGAGTGATTCAGTAACGGCTGGAACAATCGCCGTAAGCGACTGTTATACGCCTACATTTTAAAAAGCTGTGGACTATGTAACCTGATTACCGTTAATGACAGACAGACTTGTATGGGCTCCAGTTTGATTCTCATTCGTCCCCACTATGTGTCAGTGCTGTTTAGTGAGCTGAGCTCGTTCACTGGCGCCAGGAGTGCCTTAATGTTGGCGTTGTGGTTCCCTTTACACTAACTGATCCTAAGAGGTAAGGAAGCAATGTAAGGTATAACGGGCCCCGAATCATGCGTTTACCCCTCGTTGGGTTTTAATACATTTTGATACTTGGATGGTCCGTCCTCACTGGTTGTGCGGACCCCAGCGTAATATCCGTTTTTTTCGGAATTTTGCTGGCTTAGCCACTGTGGTTTCCTGGAATGCCGAGGCCAACCTGGCCAAAGTCTACCCAATGTCGTCACCATCACAGGTAGTCGTCGCCGCCGTTGTGGATCAGGGATTTGCCATCGTATGACTAGTATGACACCAAGACAGTGGTGGATCCTGGTATTTGTTTACTGTTAGCTGAGCTTCCTAATGAAAACACCGGACTCCTCAACTTGGGAGGCCCCACTGGTGGAATGGATCCCCTGCTGTACATCGCAGCCTGACACCCAGGAACACCTCCCAGCTACGATGAAGCAGTAAGGTTGTTGGGAAGGGCTTTTAATATGCAAATGCCAAACTCTTCGACTTGGATGTCTGTAAGGAAGGAATGAACTTTCCTCGCATATCACTGTTTGACATCAAGGAAGGTCCAAAAAGTTATGGTGCTTACTTATTTACATTTAGAAATCATCGAAAGTTAGATTTAGATTCACGATAATCTGCAATATATAGAATCGCTTGTGGTACAACTGGAAAACCTATGGCCAAGTATTGACCGTACAGTTGAATTCGTAGCTCAGGTGAGGTATAATCACAACTTTAACTTATTATTTATTGTCTACTCTTTTTGATGGCAGTATATATATTGCGTAATATAACTTTAATGTTGCTGAGATATTTGCAAAACTGCGGACCGCAGGTGTCTGCAATGGGGAACGAACGCGCTATTGTCCTTTCCGAGGAGTAACGCGTTCACCACCACACCATGCGGGTCCTTCTTTCCGCGTGTCTCTCAGCTAGTCTTATTGATCTTTTGCCATCATCAATCACCCATCAGCGGGATTGATCTGGGGAGCCCAAATCGGCAACGCACCCAGTTAAGCCGGAGTTTTACAAATATCTCAGCATAATTAGTTATATTGCGCAATATATACCCTGCCGTCAGGTAAAGTAGTTCTTTTGTTTTATTACCACTTTGTCATTTTTGTGTAAAGTTGAATTTTCTAACTTGTAAACATTTTGAGTTTGACATAAGACGGTTTGCACGCATAGGGAGTTGGAATAGGGTGATGTGACTTGATATCAAGTCTTTTTCTTTCTGCTGTCGCATATTTCGTCGTACATTGTTTTTTGCTGCGCTTTTTATGTTCAATTGGAACCTTATCCAACATGGATCATCGTGCTAGGCATTTGATCTGGAAAGCTACCTCTACAATTAATTATTTATAAAAAGCTTTCGGACGAACTTGTTTCTAGGCTAAATACTGTTGCTGGGTGAAGAGAGTAGGCAACAGAAAGGTTGTTGTGGTAGGGGTGCAGAGGTGTTTCTACAGTATCGAACACTTAACTTCGATATCTAAGAACATCGTTTTGTTGCGATAGGATGGCAAAACATCAAGAAAACTTGTAATGATGATTTATGTAATAGTCATGCAATAATTGTTATTAGAATTATGGTTTATAGAAGAGCGAAACGTTCATTGATGTCCTCGTTTTTGCTCAAGAAGAATATTAAGAATTATTCGCTCAATGCCGAGGTTACTAGAAAGTCGGCCGTGGGGCTCATTAATATGTTCACACATAGGGTTTCGTCGCCAGCTCTTATACTGAGAGCATTCTATTGGTATTATAACCACCGTGCCTAAGTAGATTAAACTCAAGGTATTTGGCCTTTATCAGTTTCCTAAGGATGCGCCATACACTTCGCTCCATTATGCATTGTAGAGATAATTGAATGCATGTTTATCTATCTAGTGACTTGTGTTGACCTATCGGTGTATGGGCTCACTATTTTCGTCATCTCGGATAGGCATAGTACCAATTTGAGGATCCTGAAGAGAAGGAGAGTTTGGTTTGACCCAGAGCGGATCGAACCAATGAACGCGTGAGTATTGCAGGGCATTTCTAGTCACTGCGCTACGTGCGCCCAGTTTTATTTTGCAGTCTGTAAATATTGCAATCTACACTTTTTTCATGCCATTTACAATATTTACAACCCGAAATTTCTATAATTACGACCCTCTGGAGGTATTCCCGTTTTTTTTTTTGGTTGACATCCTATCTCGCCCCTTTATTCATATGCCAGTGTTTGAAATTACTTATCCTTTTCTCATTTGCAATCACAACAATTAATCGTTCTCATGATTTACTACCTCATCATACCTTGGAGTGTTCCTGCTTACCATGAAATTCGTTTCAACAGACTATCAGCAGCTCATTGCGACTGATGTTAATTGAAGTAAGGACCATTAGAACAGTCAAATCTTTAACAACAAGGTTCGATTTTCTCTTATGCCAACACAGAACTCTGTTCTTGTAGAGCCCGGAAAAGTTGTTTTTCTCTTAGAGGTTTATATTTCGAACATTGAACTACTAAAGAAGCGAGATTCCGTCCAGTGGTTTTCGAAATTCTTAAAACTTTTGAGGATTTGAATCTTGAATAAGTCTCGAAACTCGAAAAGTCTGTTTTATAAGTTTATTACGTTCTAAACTCGTCAAATGTTTTGGCTATGGATGAGTCAGACAAAGAGGTCGAAAAGCCAGTACCGTTCATTTTTCCGAGGCAAAGAAATTAATTTTGATCACTCAGTGATTGCTATTTCATTTTCAATTGCTATGATGGATCATGGTGATCGTATAAAGTGAACTGACGTAAAGAATTCCGCCGCGTAGTTCACCGATATGTGTTGAAACCGACTATCGGGTGCTGACAGTAGTGTAATTCTATAGAAGACGATGTTTTTTCACCACACCGAAGGGCTTGACATATTCCAAAGCCAGGATACATAGAACTTATTGGATACGTAGACGATGAAAATACCGTGAAATCACTGGAGTGAATGTATAGGACTTAGCGGATATGTAGAAAAAAAGGCTAAAATTACATGAATTGCAACCACACTGGTGCTGAGATATTTCAAAATTTGAACCGCGAGCGAAATTCGCTGATTTGTGCTATGAGATCATTCCCATTGATGGGTGATTGCTGATATTACCGTCTGTAAGGGTAAGAAAAAAAATGGTTGAGAGAAAAGCAAAACAAGGGCCTCACTAATGCACTGGGTAACACGTGAACCGCGGAAATGGCGCGGGTTTGAATCTAGCCTGAGGTCCATGTTTTGCAAATTTCTCAGCATCATCGTGGTTGTAATTCGCGTAATACCCTGCCGTGAAAAATACTAGGCAGTAGATAAAAAGTTAGCCTGAAATTACAAAGAAAATGCATGGAAAGGTTGGACAACACGAAAAGTTGAGCCGTAGGGGTGTGTTATTTGAGAGGGGACCGGGGAGCAATAGGTCCGGCATGAGTAGATATCAAGTCATAACGAGTAAGGCGAAAATTTAGTGATCAGTTTGGTGCGGCGCGACATTCAGATGGATGAAGCCGTAGGAGTGTTAATGATCGTACATAACGTTTCCTTCTTTCTGTTGTTATTTATTTACATGGGGTATGCTTAACTAGTTAGTTTAGAATGTAGTACAAAACCATCGTTTCGTATTAGTAAGGAGCCGTACGTGATAAGTCTTACTGGACTTCATTCATATGCTGTCAGTCTTGTAGCTACACTTGTTCTTTCTAGAACCACTTTCTCATTGCTAAACAACTTTTTCACTGTTTCTGGAATGACCCTTACTCCTGTTTAACGCACGAAAGTAGTTAACATAAATATTCTTGTGTGCAAAATGCTTTCTTTTTTTTTTTTTTTTTTAGAAAAAACGACAACTTAGTGAGTTAGAAACTTTGTGCACGAGTGTCGAGCGTCTTTCAGCTGAAAGACCGTAGATAGACATGGGTTAGTTTTTTCGTCTCCATTAAGTTTTCTCTTTTCGTTGTTTATAAAAGAAGAGTTCGTTATTCTAGTGCTTACGCGCAGTGGCAGAAGCACTCGGCGAGAGTCTTGCACGAAAAGTGATTTTGCGCATATCACTGATCCACTCTCTACTGTTGTTGGTCAGCAGCAGCTTTCTAGTGACGATTCCGACTCAGATGCACCCGAAGAGATTTCTTCCAAACCTGGACCAGATATCAAACTTCTAACCGATTCTGGTGAAAACTTGAGCCTCTTCGAGGAGGTACCACTTAGTTCCTTGTTTGTGGTAACGTATGTGAATTCTCCTTGTTTTTACTTTTTATTTTCAGCTTCAAGAAAAGAAGAGAAAACTGGAGGAAAATAGGCAGGACAAAGCACGATCGAGAAGGCGTAAAAGGGTGAAGAAAGTCGACAGAGGAGAATACCGCATCAAGGAAAAGTAGGTTATTCTGATGAGTGCTCCTGTCACATTTACTTCAAGTCAAAAGTTTTCGAGAATCTATTGCTGCGTTTTCTCAATAGGAAAGCAGAGTTTAAAGTATTGACGCTGGAAGAGGGTATTAACAAGTCACTGGAGCCGCGTGTCAATTTTCGGGACGAATTATTAAAAGCTCGAACGGCTGGGAAGAGAGAGAGAGGTTGGTTGCTAGCCATATCTTATTGATTTGGATGTTTTTAGTTTTTCATATTATCTGATCACGGGAGCTTCACATATAAAAGACATCTTCTGTTCAACAGTAATAATGCACGCACAATTTATTAATAATGAAGGATAAAGCTCTTGGCGGTGATCAATCCTGAGAGATGCGCCGCCATGCATTCGAGTTCATTAAGCATCGGTAGAGGTGATTCTCACGTTAACCTACCGATGTACCGAGCCAGTATTGCTATCCTCCTAGAGAAGTCTAGTACCAATTTACCCACCCCGAGGGTGGAGGAGTTCGTGAGCCTGGAGCGCGGGGATCGATCCTATGTGTATTGTAGAGAGCACCTGTGATCACTGCGCTACACGGTCCCATGCAATTTATTATCGAAGAAATTTGGCCACCAGGGCTCACTGAAGTCATAATATTTGACTAGCTATTGCAAAACATCGTGATGGTCAGTAAGCTTAAGAGCTCATAGACACATTGTTTCTAATTTGGAACGTTTCAAGTGCCAAATGCTGCCGCTCTTCGTGCGAAATGGATATAGATGCGATTTCACGTCATACCAAACAAGTTTTCTAGCAGTTTCAGTACTGTGTTCATGTCTTCTTTACAGTTTCTACGTTTTCTGGTACTGGACCAAATCACTATTATCTGCTCTACACATCTTACCATTTCTTCGCAAATTTCGTGTCTGGTATTGTTATTGCCTCATTGATTGCCTATTATTATTGCTACACATATACAGACAGCTCTTGTTGCTTAATTTCTTTCCCGAGTTTCTGTTCCATTTGCGTTGTTATGTTTTTGATGGAAAATCATTTATCTGTCGTTTTTTAATAGAAGTATGTTATGTTGTCCGTCTTTGAAAAGATGTTGATTAAGTTCTTAAGCTCAATGAAAGCTTCAAATTACCATTTTAACACAGACTTTTACATGGCACATGTATACACCCTAAATCTACAGACCTCCATTATGTGGTAGATCGCAAGCGAGTAAGTAATAAGGCTGTTCATTGCTTACTTGGGTGGCTTATAGGCTTTGCGCGTGGAACGAAAGCATCAATGTGCCTGCCTTGAAAAAGGAGTTGGTTCCAAGATGAATCTGTTTCAGATTTGACCATTACGTTCCATACAATCACTTCATGCTTAAATGAGTATCTGTACTTATACGAGTTTCTTGTATGTCCTACACGTCTCTTTCGCCAAAAGCTTTCAATCATCGGATAGAAATACATGAAGCCGCGTGAGGGCCATGTTCAAAATGCAAGTTTATCGTCTACTTGGGATGACAATGAGTATATCCAGCGCTCACAGTATACTTGGCGAGCTAGATGTGAGTACCTTCTCATCAAAACCAGTCAGTGTAGACAGCCTAATACGGAAATTGTAGCTAAGCCCGTGTTGCTTGTACAGGCAAGTCTGCCACATGGGGAATTTGGACGTCTCAGATTGCGTCACTCCATGAATATAGGTGGTACATGTGGTGCCGAATAGTTCTCACATTCTACTTTTTCCACATTTCTTGCAACATATCAAAATGAATAGCAGAATCTCGTTCCATTTGCTTGCTTTGTCGTTGAACCATGTTTGTAGAGTCGGGTATTAGTTGATCGTCTGTTGGTGGAGTAGGGCGTTCATTAAAGAGACATGGTAGAGCACGTCTGAAAGAGGCTAAGCATAGTACTTAATTGGTCCGGTTGTTAAGTAGTAAATAAATTGTAAATGACCTTGATGCTTGCCACAGTTGTTTATTCCTTAGTATAGCGACAAATGGAAAGACGATAGCATACACTGGCACCACAAGTAACGCAAGTTCTGAGAATGGCGCAAAGCGGACAACGATGCGATCATCGGCGGATCTAAACTTTATATAGCAAACGGCACGTTATCGGAGTTTAATTAAAGGTCTTGAATAGAATTATGGGTAAGAAGCAATGACTCTTGAGAAGAAGATTTTTTTCATTTCTGGATATCGAGTGATTACGCCTAGCCCTGATGATCTCTCTGGAATTTTGGAAATAAAATGATTCCACAAGCGCAGGGTTTGGATGGTTGTGAATCGAAATGTGGATTGTTCTATAGTCAAAATTCTATCCCAGTCCGTGCAAAAAAAAACTGCTTCTCTCGCATAAAAGTGCCATATAACTAACCGATGCACAACGGCGAACACCAGCAAAGATATGAGACCAATCATACCAAGAACAGCATGGACAGTTACAGATGGTATGAGGATTCGCATTATGCGCACGTTTTCCTGTAGTTGAACATTAAGGGCGTTCGAAGACCAATTATAGAATCAATTACAAAGTAATAGAACTTTATTAAGTGGATCTGTCGATAAAACAAAGTTTCTAGTGGAAATGTAAGGACGAAAGGATAAATGTGAGCGTCATGCCTTCGGCTTCATCAAGCATAGTTGGAGGTGATTGGGAGACAGACGAAACGAACGACCCGCATTGTGTGGTTGAACGCGTTACTCCCCGGAAAGGACAATATCGCGTTCGGTCCCCACCGCAGACACCTACGGTCCGGAGTTTTGCAAATATCTCAGTATCATTATGGTTATGCATTCAATTATCTCTAACGATGCTGAATTCCGTCAAATACATCGCTAAGAGACTGATTAACACCGGGCGCTCTATTGTTTATCCTACTCCATAGAATTGAAGTATATTAATAGAAATATTTTTTGAAGATGTTGGATTTCTACTAGTACTTGCTAGTATTGGACCCCGTTCTGGTTCGATCCCGCTCTAAATTCATTCGAATTCACTAAGCCTCTCATCCCTCCGGGGTCGGAAATTTGCTACCGGACTTGTCTGGGAGAAGTTCATTCTCTGCAGTCTAAGTGCGAACGCTCTAACCCGGCAATCTCTGGGCACCAGAGAGAATCGACTCGATCAGCGTTCAACCATGTCATGACGAAAAGAAAATCGTGCAGCAGCAGCCAAAAGCACACGCAAAAGTTGGAAAACCTTCGTGGACAGCGGATGTGAGCAAACGAATTGAATGCAAAAAGTGCTCAGATCCGCGCAATAGGTGTTATCTGGTCATGGTAAGGAAAATAAGCGTGTAAAGTGTCTATGCTCGCTTTTACGACCACTGAATAGGAAAATTTAAATATTGCGCTTAAAAACTGCATGTACTGGATATTCCTTCATACGCCTGTACATTTGACCTTTTTGACCTTTCTCTCTACTAGAAGTTCGCAAAGAGACGGAGAGTTTTCATTCTCTACAGTACGAGCATTGGTGTCGTTAAGTTCCCTTCTCCTACTGCAATAATCAGCAACAGATTCAACAACAACAGACTACATGTGATTCATTTTGTCACTTCCCTGACCTGTAGCTGATATCGTTCCGTAAGTGTATGCATGGCATTGTTCACAAATTCGTTAACTTGTTGTCGTTGATTTGAGTGAAGCAGGACGATAAAATACACTAGTGCTACTGCTTCTAGTATAGACATCACACAGAGTGAAAATACCTAAAGCATAGATGTTTCCTACACTCTTTTTGTTCATCTTATGACGTTTTTAGGACAAGGCATGAAGAAGAAATCTATAGAACTTCTTTGGCACTGTTATTATATTTCACTGGGATATGCCAAAACAAGAGATTCGCTTCCGTGATTTTTTGGTTTTACGACATAGTATTCGATTAAATATGGGAAGGAGTAGCGGTGAAAAACTGACATTTCGGTTGGAAGTCCTTTAATTCTTCCTAAAGACATTTTAGTAATCGTAGCGGATCCAATATCTGGATTCTACTCTTGCTTAGGAGTCATTTGTAGTATTGATCTATTAGGGGAGTTGTAAAATGGTTAGATTTTTGCATAGATCATTCTGGAACTCACCGCTGTTCGTGGATGCGATATGTATACGGTACAGTAGTGTACGTAACCGGGATCAGAACGTACCAGTACAGATATGACAGCGAAGAAAATTGACAACGACCACTGAAATATTACGAGGAAATATATACATAAGCTGAACTGTATTTCCAAAGCATCCATTCACATTCATTTATCTCATGAGCTACCTTTCTCTTCTATTGTGATAACTTCTCCAAACTTTTAGTGTGTTTCCTTCAATGTCGAATCTGAGATCATCTACGAATGTTTGAACCACTTAGTTCGAATTGATATCGTGCGTGATGGGTATCTCCGAGAACATGTTGACCAAAGCATTCTGCGGATAATGCACGAAATCGTCTATGTGACAGAGATGTCAACTGTATTTCTCCTTCAAAGCACAGCCCTTCGAGGACCATTGTGTCAGAGAGGTTAGCACAAGGTTTTGGGTCTGTCGATGCTCTGGTGGGTACTCCGTAACATAACTACCCCAAAGAATACCAATAGGCTGTGCAGTTCAGAATTTCGTGAATCATTTCATCTTCGAGATTTAGGGAAATTGCACGACAAGTGTGAGAAAAATTAAAAAAGAAAAAGTCATTTACGTATCTTATTACGTATCTGACTTATTTCTTCCAATAAATATAGTTAGTTGGTGCACTCAGCAGGATCGGGGTCAATAAAAGTGAAAAAACCAAACCTAAGATAGTTATTAGTGGCACAGCAGCTTTACTGGTTGGTGGAAAGGTCTTGAGAGAAAAATACCGAGTAACAAACATGTAAGCAACGTATTAAGCATCGTTTTAGAAAACATTTTCGCTTAACATACCAAGCAGATAGACAAGCTACATTGTTAGCAATCTTTACAATACCTGAGACGATCTCTTCTGAAGATTGTTTGAAGACCATAATTAGATTACTTAGCATAAAAAGTCAAAAATAGTCGTAATTCCTTAAGCGAACCTGTATTAAAATAAGTATTATAGCCACAATTTTTGATCCGTGAACTTCGTACGACTTGTACTTCAAAGTGGCTATTGTCCGTTCTACAGCCAGAATGAGGATTCCACATAATGTAGCGTAGATGGATAAGACGACTGGAAACCTGAAGCAGACGGGAGACATTGAATTTCTAAGTATTAGGCTGTAACATATGAAATATCCCATTTCAAATGTAGACTTTAAATAAAAGAGCCATTGAAATCAGCACGTTTTTTCTAACAAAAAACAAGTTTATTTATTTTAGATGCATAAAATTCTGGAGTTCTGTAACGATGAATTCGTTAAAGGCATTTTTTGCGTCATCGTGGTTAGTGAAGCATTTTTCGCGCACGCAGAAAGTTGTCAACGTGCTTGAAGAAGTGAAAGTCGGTAGGCGAAAGGTCTATTGAATATGGAGAATGAAGCAAAGTTTGTATCTAAACTCCTGCAGGCTCTACAGCGATGGTTCCGAAACGTGAGACCGGGCGCTGTCGTGGAGAAGGATTGGTCCTTTTCTGTTGACTAATGCCGGTCGTTGCTATTGGAGTTCATGGTGCATTTCGTCGATTTATTTCGCAATAGTTCTCTGCTACAATCGTTTCGCTCGGATCCAAAGAGCTATGATGAGCCAGCCCGGCTACAGACCACTAAACAGTCACCATAACCATTTTTGGTGCAATTTCGGCCTTGGGGAAGTGCTGTGGAACCTGATCGCAATCCAACGAACCATTGAGCCGAACGTCGCCATTTGTCGTACAGAATCCACTTCTCGTCCTACGCCACAATTCGATCAAGAAAAGCGCCGCTTTTGTATAGGAGAAGGATAGGAGCAGACGACACTTCAAACGGCGATTTTTCTGATTATCGTTTGATTCGTGTGGCACCCGCTTGACGAGTTTCTTGTCTTTCCTATGCGATTCAAGTCAGTGGAAATTGTTCCTGTATTTACGCCAAATAGTTCTGGAAGTTTTCGAACAGTTGTTCGTGTGTTTACTTCCACTACTGCCTTCAATTCGTCGTTGTCAAGTTCACTGGGACGTCCTCGGCCTTGCTTCGACGTCGAAATCATCCGACCTCCTGCAGCGGCATTATGTCCACTCTTCTACTCGTACAAAAAAAGGACACGAATATCACATTGATTCATACTAAAGTTAAAGCCTATAAAAACGTTAGAATAAGAAATCTGAAAGAATTAATATCGTAGAAAGAACACACATTATGATTTAAAAATAGATACTAAACATGCAGAAACAACAAAATCTTTATTCAAAATCTTGTACGGAAGATCAAAACAATAAAATTGGACATTTCATATGTTACAACCTAATAGAAAAGGAAACCACTAAATGGTTTGCCTAACCTCGCAATCGCACACCATTTCGCTTCGTAGAGCGAATTGCAGGCGTTGTACTCTGTCAGCGTTTTCGCCAAACTACAAAAAACAGCTGAAGAAGTGGAATCTATACCCTTCCCAGTATTGAAGTGTGAGATCTTATCATTAAATTTTCCGAGTTAAACGTAATTCGCTCATTTTGCCTCGACCAAACTGTGGCCAGCGCCACATAAAAAATAAATGTGAATTGCTGAAATGGAGAATATATCAGGAGCGTTCTTCAGGGACTACTCCAGACCGTGATTTCTCACGGGATATCCCTTCTGAACATGGAACTTTGCCCAGATTTATAAGGAATCACGATAAAGTGTTTGACGTTGATCAATCCCTAAAGGATGCGCCATGCATTCGACTTCATCAAACATCGTTAGGTGGGATTGAATTCCTATCTGACCCATGTAATAACTTACCAACTTGCTATAGACTATCTATGTAACAAGCCAGGCTAAGCCCTGATAAAAAATAGATAAAACTTGGTGAGATAGGAGCAATGGACCAAACCAACGACCATATTTGTACTGCAGAACATCTCTAACCTAAAGACTTTCTCTGCTTCTTTTGATTGAAGGAGAGCACAAGCTTACGATTAGACAAGGAAAAACTGGTTATGGTTAAACATTCGACAGACATGAATAACTTAAGGAGCAGATTCTTGGATGTTGTTGTTTATTGTTAGAGCTGGCACAAACACGAATATATCTGCATGTGTGAGAAGTTCTTCTGTTCATTGCATATCTTTGTTAAATATGTGAAAGTTTATGAAGTGCATTCCTTTTGCATTTGACCTTACTAGTGCTTAACTTTAACTTCAAATTGTATAACAGAATCACGAAATCACTCACGAAAAACGACTATCATAGACTTTCAATATTGGTTCTTCTTACAGCTGTCTTTTTTTTTACCATAGTTTCCTTGCACAGTAATAAATCGGCTCCTTCCAGAAAGTCTACCAAAATAGGAAGAAAAATGCAAAATTTCCATTATCATTCCCCACCCCCAAATAAGAAGTATTACTATCTGCTAGGGTGCGTGTGGTGCAGTGGCCGGAGGCGCTCCGCAACACACACGTGGAATCGATACCCGCGCTCATGGCCCACCAAGTTTTCCATTTTTCCATCTATCCGGGGTCGGCAAATTGGTACTAGACTTGGCTGGGGGAATAGCAGCACTGATTCAATAGATCGGTAGGCCAACGAAAGCAATTGTAAAGGGCAGGTATACAATGCATACCCTGCCGTTAAAAAGAGTAGACAGTAAATAATACGTTAAATTGCTCAGGAGAACTTTCTTTCTTTGCGCTGAATAAGTTATAAAGCAAGATTTTCATTCCCAATAAAAGTATAAATATATAAATCTCGATCTCGATAGAAGGTCGATAGAACTAGCTGAGAGACAGACAAAACGGAGGACCCGGGTGGTGTGGTGGTGAAGTGCGCCACTCCCCGGTAAGGACAATAGCGCGTTCGTTCCCCACCGCATACACCTGCGGTGCGGAGTTTTGCAAATATCTCAGCATCATTGAAGTTCTCCTGAGCATTTTCAGTTTAACAGATTTTTTCCGGAAGCTGAAATTTGCCTCATCCGCGCCTATTACTAATGGCCACTTTGAATAGTGATCGTAAAAACTTCACGAACCTGTATACAGCTATAAGAAAAAGCTGTGTGCACGCGATCCATGCGGCTAAGCTGAGACTAGTTAATGATAGCCGAAGATTGACGTGCAGATTTTGAGACGAGCGAGAGATGAGCACATAGATGAAGAGCGAAGACGCAACCACTCCAAAGAAACAGAAGAAAATGTGCACGAAGCGAATCGTCTGAAAATAGCTAAATATGAGATAGGAGGCTGTAACTCAGGGCTGCTTATAAAGCTGAACAGAAAGAACCTTGAACAAATGCAGAAAAATGGGGACTTTATCTTAAGCCACATTAGCGTTTTTTTTCAAATCTCTGTTGAACCGACATAAATACTTATATGAACAATAAGTTCTGTTCAAAAACAGTATTCTTTCCTTCTTTTAACCTAGGCACTGATGTTTCCAAGGCGATTTGGAAGCAGCTATTTCATTCTTACCGATTTATAATTTCTCTATTAGACAACACAATAGTAGACTATTATTTGTAAGTAAGTAAGGAGAAACATGGCCCGTGCAGCACAGTAGTCAAAGACGCCTTCGCTAGTTCCATCCCGCATCCTGGTTCACTAAGTTTTTCGTCTTAGCAGGATTGGCCAATTGGTACCAGAATTGTCTGGGAGGATATGAGTATTAGCGTGATACATCGGAAGGCACAAGACGTCATAGTATAGGCCAAATATGGAAGCAATCACCTCAGTGATTCCTGATGAAGTCAAACTTCTTTCATTTTCAGATATTGATCAAAACCTATACGAAAAGTAGTGCGATCCTAACCTGACATGTTTTCTATGCAAATGATAGATTGTTGGCAGGTGCTCTTTCAATAGAGTATCGAGAAACCTGTTCCATCGCGTTTTCTGGTTGTAGGTATAGGCAGTACTTATAATAGTAATCGTCGGTCCTTGAGGAGAGGAGAAAAGTTGGTGTACTTAAGAGTATAGTTCTTCTTAGCCAACAATAATGATTTACATTGAATTATTCGTAACGGGTCTAGAGAACAGAAATCTTATAGAACTCGTTTTTCTCAAATTCTTTGGTCTGGCTCAATATTTAGTATGTTTAGAATAGCTGAGGTGTTGTAATAACATATTTTGAAGCAAATAGAGGGATTATATTCTAAACATGATGAACCACCGATTGCTTAGGCGACAAACGACGTTGAAAAATCGTAGGGACAAAGCCGAATAGTACGTTATAGAGACATCCATTGTCCCGTAGGTAACTACAATGCATTTGATACGAAGTTTTAATGACTAAAAATCTTATTCAAGTTATTAGAAAGCACCGTCACCTACTCTCCTGAGTTTATTTTCGATGAGAAATGCTCATAGGACGCTTCATGGAATCATTACTTATAAGTCTCTTCTAGGGAATTATGCCGTAGTGCACTGGTTTCGCAATTATCCTACGAGGTTTAACAAACTGCTTGTACAGTGGTGGCTTAATAAAATGATTCTGAAGATTGCCACGGAAGCCTGAACACTCCCAGACCTAATAAGCAGACCAGGAAACACCTTGTAGACTACAAATGAACAGCGACGTTTCAGCTGATACAAATGAACCGGAATGCTTTAGATGAGGTTGAAGACCTGAAAGGTCACACTTGAAAACTTCTGGACATTTAATAGCCTTATTTTCACTGAGCTATTGTTTTTTCGGGGTTTATTAATACCGCACACATAGGCCTCGGTACTCTTGGTGAAGTTACTGCTTCGCTATTACATATTTCTGTACCAATCAAATCAGTTCATCATTGCTTTGGTAAAGATTTTTAAATTACCAAGAACAGCGAATCCCTACCGCTTTTTTAGGAATTATTACCGGCGATATATTGCACTAGCCGGCTTGATATTTTGCACCTAAACTTCGTGTCCTCAAGGATTCATTTACATCTTTGCCGTTACTAAGAGTTACGTATCCCGATGGAGAACCTCATTGATGTGTAAACTTTATTCTTGTTGCTCAGAATAATAAATGAACTTCTATGAATATGCGAAAGGAGAGAAAGAAATTTTAATTCTCAAAACTCCCAAAAAATTCGAATTTATCCTCTTCCTTTTTTTCTTGGGAAGGGGAAAGTGGGGAAGACATCGTTATAAGAAACGATAATGCGTGACCGATAAACATTCGAAAGCTGTAGGAAGCACTGGAAACCGTGCAAATTGAGACACGAGGCTGTAAAGCTCGGTAGAGAAGAGTTAAAATATGCTTAGACAGAAAACAGCAGCAGTACCTGCTAGACCCATGGTGACCCCAGAATAAAACGGCCGAGATGCTTACAGGATCTTCGCCAAGCAAAAGAGTCACCTTGCCAAACCAAGACTAAGTCATCACCATCGATAAGTGATAAGCTCGTTTGTGATTTACAAATTCTACTAAGATCTTTCTGGTTACCAAATCTTCAGATACCTTACAATCATATCAAAGAATATGAACACAACCCCTTAGCTGTTCTCTTGCCAAATTCGCACAGGCTGTTAAAGGATGAAGGAAAAAGCATTCAGCATTGATCAATTCCTGAGAGATGAGCCATGAATTCACCTTCATGGAGCATCGTTAGAGGCGATTTGAATGCATATCTGACTCGTGCAATCACTTGGGGTTACCTACTAAGAGAGTGCTACTGTAGGCTGAGACATGCCTAGTGCCAATTTCCCTACTCCGAAACGATGGAAGACTTGATGAACCTGGGTGGGGGGAACGAACCGAAGATCACGTTTGTATTGCAGGGCGCCTCTAACTACTGAAGTACACGTTACATTACAAGTAAATAATTGTGCAATGTCAAGTCTAGGTCGTATCAAACTCGAATGCATGCAAAAGTTACTGTAGTCTTTCACAAACTACCTCCTGGAATGAAAACTGACCAATCGTTGACCAACTGCTACACAATATCCTTTTTCCTTGTGACATCGCTTTCCTGTTAGCATTAACCAAAGGGAATGAATAAGAATAGAACTTGACAAAACGTTTAGTAATAATTGAAGAGGATATTTATAATAATTTGAAGGAGAATAGGCAGAAAATGAAAGTTAAGATATTGTGACTTCGAATGCAGCTTCAGCTTAACCGGATTCAATGCCAGTTCGTCCTCGCCAGATCATTTCCGTTCACGGGTGATTGCTGACAGCATCGACAGAGGAAAAAGTTCTGGGAGAAAGGCAAACACCTCAGTAGTGCAGTAGGTAACGCGTGAGCCATCGATAAGGATAATACTGGGTACGAATCTCGGCTGGGATCCAAGTTCTGTTCATGTCTCAACATCCTTGTGGTTGTATTTCATATTGCACCCTGCTATGAAGAGAAAAATTGGGCAGAAAATTAAAGTTAAATCTATTGAAGGCTCAACTTTTTATTCACTGCCTATTTTTTTCATTGCAGGGTATTAAGTGAAAAACAACTGCCAGGATTCACTGTTTTCTTGGTGAGCAAACACGAGGTTGTTATTTTACTCTCTCCTGACAAAAAAGCTCACGTCTCGGCGGATTTCGCCTTCCATAGAGCGTGGAAAGTTCAAGTTGACTGCAATCTATCCAGCCATGCACCTCCATAACCCGACAGAAAATGCTACACCAGGATTTCAACCGCTTTGAAAACAAGATAGCCTCTTCGCTCACTCACCGCTTTCTATGAGTTTTCCAGTGAATATGTCACGTGAAGACCAACCGTACAGGGTTCATATAGATGGGTTATGTGCCTCTCTCACATTAAAATGCCGTTATGAAATATTGTATGAGATCACGTGTGTTAAAGAGGCATCCCTCCATGCGCTTCATTTTCGGATTCTTGGAATTTAACCATAATGGTTCGAGAATTCTAGTGTACTGAAGTTCAAGTCAAGATTCTTGAGTGAGGATGATCCCTTCTACTTCAAAATCCTTCTCGCTCTATGTCCTACGCAAGCCTAGTGGTGAATTTAGCTTGATTTTAAGTTTGCCGAATAGAGGAAGATTTTAGAAATCTTAGACAGTAACTTCGGGCCCTTACTCTTCGCGTGACATACTCAATGAAAGACTCACAGAAAGCGGTGAGTTTGGGAAGAGGCTATTTTGTTTTCAATGCGATTGAAATCTTAATTTCATGACTTTCCTGTTTTGAAATGGAGGTGTTTGGCCGACTAGATTGCGGTCAACTTGACCTTTCCAGGCTCCGAAGAAGGCGAAATCCGGCGAAACGTGAGCTTTTTGTCAATAAGGATTAAAATAATAACCTCTCTGCTCATCATGAAAGCAGTGAATTATTTGATCGGTGTCGAGGTTAATAGAAAGTCACCTTTGGATCTTTGACGGGTACCATTAAACCCATTCACCATGCTCTTCCGGTATAATACTAACGTGGCGAAATCAATTACTGAGCAGAATATCCGACTCCATTTGATCATGCTGGTTATCACAACTAGTCCACGCAATGGAGCGCAGTGATCCCGGTCGGCTTCTCATTACCTTCTCAATCGTTGTGAAGTGACAGCTTGAAGAAAATAATAGTTCAGCAACAGGAGTTGTTTATTACTTGTGCACTGCCTTGAGAACATTCAGTTTCACTAGTATTCAAGCCGAAAACTGGCTATGAAAATTACACAAAAAGAAAACGTGGTGAAAAAATAAATAATGAAGTACCTATAGGTGCATAAGAAAAATGTGGAATATTAACTGGGTTTGTTGCCGATTTGGGCTCGCTAAATCAATCCCGTTGACGGGTGATTGCTGATGGCGTTAATCGATAAAACTAGTGGAGAGACAGGCGAAACGAAGGATCCGTATGGAGTGGTGGCGAATGCGTTTGCCACCGGAAAGGGCAAGAGCGTGTTCGTTCCCTATCGCAGATACCACCGGTCCAGAGTTTTGCAAAATTTCTCTGCATCATTGTAATGTTTAATATGTTTCATAAGGCGATGAATATTGAGAAATACTGGAGCGATAAAAGAAATCCTTGGATAGTGATTGATCTTAACCCTCTCTTTTCAAATGGGTTATCGATAATAAGTGCACATAAGCTTCGATTTTTTGGAAAAATGAACTCAGCGATTAAGAAACGTGCTATTATTACACACCTGCATGCCATTAAGTCGAACGTATTATTGAGGAATTCTGAAGTACTTTGGAGAAGAAGGCCTTTTTTACAGAGTTGAATAACAATAATTACAGAAGCGCGAAGCGGCGAAGAAGTTTCCGCTCCCTCTGTATTATAATTAAAGAGGAGAAGAGAAGCTTATGACTCGGAACCTGCTGGAAATTCACGCCCAATAACTTAATGTTAGCCTTCGAATACTTTTGACAACCGAAACTCTTCGCCTCGTTGAATTTTCCTCTCGTACTTTGTATTAACGCATTTTTGTATACTATGTTTCTTTCGAATATTTTTTTCTTACTTTTACATGGCTAGACATCACGCAACCATAACCATAACCATAACCGTATACCAGGATCCACCATCGTCCTGGTATCAAACTTGTCGCACGGTAGCAAATCTCCCTCTGATCCACAAGGGTGGTCTGTTGTGGAGCAGACCTTGCCTAGGGTGACCTCGGGACTCCAGGGAAGCACAATGACTAAACCAGCAGAACTCCGAAAAAAGGAAATTGTGCTGCGGCCTGCACAACCAATGAAGGAAGGCCATCCAAACTTCCAAGTAAGTATGACATCACATATTTTATTGATTACAGCACTTCCATTCGTATTCTATTCGAATTTTCATCGATTCTAATAGCATTCGATTCGTTTCTCCGCACCCACCATCTACGAAGGACCTTCGAATTTTTGCATGTGGACGCGAGTTTTGCTTGGGAACTTTTGCTCTTCGTTATGAATGCCGTCAAATGATGTCGAGCCGAATCTTGATCCATTCACTGCTGGGACAGCTGTGCTACAATGCTTCGAGATCATCATCACGGGCAGTTGCGACTATGTGGATTTGAGGTAGCGACCTGATCCCAAGGAATTTTAAACTGAGTTCACGACGACCCGCTGATGGATGATTGATCATGGCAGAAATCGATGGAACTAGCTGGGAGACAGACGAAACGAAGGACCCGCATTGTGTGGTGGTGAACGCGTTACTCCCCGGAAAGGACAATATCGCGTTCGGTCCCCACCGCAGACACGTGCTGTCAGGAGTTTTGCAAATATCTCAGCATCATTGTGGTTGTTTCACAAATAAGTTCACGACCTCGGAGAAATGGAGGACTAGGTTCCCTCGAATTGGCGTCGAA